TTGAAATAATCAACTTCAGTTTTTTCGAAAAAAACAATCTTATTCAAATTTATAAAAAGCGACACACAAAATAATATGAGATTTTAAGATGATATCAAAACTTTCATTGCTCAATTGATAGCCACCATACATACAGATGTATGTACGTTTAAATATATAACATATCACAAATATAACTAAAACAAACTTGAAACTATTTTTTTCCTTTGTTTCTATGATATTTTTTTTTTAAAGTCAACGATCATATTTATTATTTATTTTTATTGTAATTTTACATATATTTTGTGTGTTGAGTAATACTAAACACATTTTGCCCAGTTGTATGTTCTTAGTTTCTTCATTGAAATAATATTCACTATACAACAACAAATGTTTCTTATATTCAGTATAAGTAAACAAAAGCGTATATGTAATTTTATTGTCAACTTATGAATTAATCAGAGTTACTACAAATACTGGGTAAAACTTACAAAAGTAGGAAGTATAAACAAAAGAATATAAAGTTCCTATATATTTAATAATTGGCAGATGTGCATATATTATAAAATTATAAATTAATAAAAATATGAACCAGAAACAGTTGTATTTTCTTGCGCGTATAACATCAGTGGAACACTTAATAATGCCAGTTATTTTCCCGATTTCGGGAGTACTAGATTCGTTGAGAAGTATGAAACAGAGTGGACCGATCCAATAAAGTCCGTGTATCTTTGTCGAACGCCTGTCCGTATTAACATTGGGATCTCAGGAACTAAGAAGACAAAGGTAAAGAGTTCACAATTCTCAGGGATTTCACAAAAAATGTTGAAATTTCTCGTTCGCATTTCCACTAGATGAGTAACGGGTATCTGATAAACGGGTAACTCGACTATAGAGTTCTCCCTTTTGTTTTATTTAAAATTTTTTTTTTTTTAAACGAGCCTAACAATTTTTTTTTGTGGAAAAAAAATACGGTCGCAAAGTCTCCTTCACAGCGCGACAAATCTGACTGAAACCAATATACTCGTAGCCTTTATAAACGTTTAAGCATAGGAAAAAATTGGCAGTGGCAATTAAACTTCCTTCCCGTGGCAAGACCACTTCACCTCACCTTCCTCCTTTGGTTCAGAAAAAATTAAGACCATTAAAACTAATATATTTCACGTTACGTCATTTTGAACGTAAGACGTAAGACACGTAAGAAGTAAATACGTTATCAAAGTTCCCGCAAGGCTCCGCAGCGATCCGATCCCTGGATGTGTGCTTATGTGCAAGCCTCTTTTGAAACTATTTACCTTATCTCTGGAAACTTCACAGTTCCCTTATATATGGAATGAGACCTTTATGATCCCAATTAAATATTATCTTTAGGCTTCACAAATAATTTTCAACAGATTTCATCTACACCGACTTTAGTAAAGCATAGGACACTTTTAATCATTCACTTTTGGAAAGAAAATTTGATTTATTAGGTTTCATGGTTCAGCTTTTAAATTGGGTTTTAAGTTGTTTGAATAGCAGGACGCAATGTAACGTTATAAACTTTAATGGCTTCAAGTGTAAAGTTATGACCTTTTGTCGTGTCAACACAATAAACGAGACTTATGCTCTAAGTGAGTGCTCTGTTGATGATCTTGTTCTTCTAGATCCTAAACTAAAGACCCTAAATTGGGATGCAGACTAATGTTAATAAACTTGCCTTCCGTGAGTAACCGTAGAACAGTATTTATTTGTAATCTTACACGTAGTGAAGTTGATAGTCGCGACTTGCTTAGTCCGGCTAAACTGGTCTGTTCCAGAACAGTAACTAGAAATTGCGTACCCCTTATATTAAATCATTGTAGATCTAACTATAAGTATTGTATCCTGACTATAATAGACTGCATCCTCTTATATATATTTCTGACTCTGCCGGTCTTAAGGCGATCATAACCAACCTTTTTAACGCATAATTAGATCTTACTCATATTTATATATTGTCTCGTAATCCGCGTCTATCTTATCGCGAATCGCGGTTGGGCGGTAGGTGTGGACGTGAGACCCGCGCAAAAAAAGTCGATCAGCAATTAAATCATTTTTCATTCTTGGTTTAATAAAGAGATGACACACCAAAGAAGATAATGGTTTTCAGTCTGTCTGTTGTAAGTATTCAAGTGCTTTGATTAATTTTACCGTGCTTAACAGTGAATATTTTTTTTTTAAATTCGGTTATACAAGCGTAAAACCACTTCCTCGCAATTATAGATTCATTGAAAAGTATGTAACGGACAGAAGAAAGCGATTCCGACCGTATAAAGTATAAATGTATGTATATTCTTGATCAGGATCAATAACCGAGTCGATCTGGCCATGTCAGTCTGTCCGTCTGTACGTCCGTATGAACACCGAGATCTCAGGAACTACAAAAGCTAGCAAGTTGAGATAAGGCATGCAGAGACGTAGACGCAGCGTAAGTTTGTTAACGCACAACGCAACGCACTTTAACGCAATTTCTACCGATATTCCAGAAAATCAAGAAATTTTTTGTTCGCTTTTCTACTAGCTGAGTAACGGGTATCTGATAGTTGGGAAACTCGACTATTGCATTCTATCTTGTTTCAAAATACGACGGTAACATCGTATTATAGCTAATACAAAATGGGAAGTGGTTTTGGACGTTAAGTCAATTTTAATAATCCGAAATGTGAAAAACACCATCACACATCGAATTTGACTTACCAAATACAAATGAAAAATTAAAAAAATTTTTCGCGCACAATCTATTAAAATTTTTACGGGGACTTCAGCCTTTGGCCGTCCACAGTATATTATATTAAATATTTGCTTACACGAAATATATACAATTTGACACAGTCTTCAGAATTACTTACAATCATACGTATATATTTATGTCTCATTAATAGCAAGCATAATACGCTTTTGAAGTATAATGCTAGTTTTCTTTACCGCTTTTGAATAAAATTATTGTTGTAATATTATCGGGTAGAAATCTTTCTATTTGTTAATTTATAAAGTAACAGAAATAATCAGAGAATAAAATAACACGTTACAATATATCTATGCTCATGTTTGTTATGCATAAACCTAAATAAAAAATACAACAACCGTTAACGCTTATAAGCTAAGCGGACACACAGACGGAAATGGCCAGATCGGCTCAACTATGGAATCTGATTAAGAATATATACTGCAGTATATATACTGCCATCCGCAGGATTACATACTTTATAGGATTTGGAACGGTTTCTTATACATGTTTCATTCATTTTAACGAAACTCGTAAACCTTTTTATTCTACAAGTAACCTATGGCAGCTATATGATACGGTCGCCCGATTTTATTGTCATAAAACTGGTGTATACCAGATTATAACAAATTATGATAAAAAACGACAAAAGTCCATTTATTTTCTACTGTTCATTTGTATACTATATACATACTGATCAAGAATATACAATTTTCCCTCTGCAAAAATATAAAAAAAAGCTTGTCACTGAACAAATTTGTATTTAAAATCCCGTTCTAAGTGTCCGAAAAACCCTGTACACATTTGAACTATGAATTTTTTTTTTCATTATAGAAAAACGAATTGCTTTCGAACTGCATGGTTATATATAGACCTTATAGAATCGAAGCATATTATAAAAATCACAGGTAACAGATTTGTTAGATGTGAGTTGAAAGTGTTAAATTTATTAAAACAAAAATCTTGTATTACTTTAATGTTGTTTATTACTATTTATTTTAAGTCTTCCACAAAAACCGGAGTTTACAATAGTTTTACGCGTAAATAAGTTTAGGGTACGAAATAAAATTGGTAGTATAACGAAAGTTTAATAACAAAAAATTTAAATTTTTATTATATCGAGAGTTCATTTGGTCACTTTAAAATTGTGAAATATTTCCGTTTATTTATTGCACCCTTTAAACTGTTTTTACCGATAGTTATCTTATGAATTATTTTAATTAGTTTAATATAGTTAAGTTAAATATGTACAAAACCAAAAATTATGTAAGTTACAATAAAATAATTTATTCTATAAACCTAAAAAATGATGTAATATTATTAAAATTCCCAATATGCACAACAATGCATATACTTTTGAAGATGTAGTAAACTAAATTTAAACAAACATTATTATGTATTTATATACATTAAATTTCTTTAATAGCCTATGCTTAAAACTTATATCAATGTTTGTTTTTTGATTACAACACCGATAAGACTTATGTCGAAAGACTTACTTGGTTATCTGGTTAACTCAAAATAATTGGTTATTCTATTGCAAAAATATTCATTTAAAAAAAGGATAAACCATATTAAGAAAAATTATACCCATACCCATGCCCAGGCTATAGTAAACGCATTTGAAATTATGTGGATTATTTAAAGTATTCAATATAGACATATAAATAACCATTGGCACGAAATTAATTTAAAAAAAAGGAGATATACAAGTCTCATTATGCGTACAAATATAAAATATGCAATATTTTATGTTGGAGTTTACTTTGATTTGCTAGCGTTAAAGATAATTCTTTCCTTCCGTTTGTCTCTGCATAATTACACTGTATTACAAAATGATACATTTGTTAAATAAAATTTATGGGAAATTTATGATTACAAAACCCGAATTCTAAATGAGTTCAAAAAAAATTCCTAATCTAACCATTTTTAATCGCAAATTTTTTGTTATTTTACATCTGTGGGTTCGTGTAACTTTTTAGCTTTTCAAAGAGTGTTCCAAATTAATTTTATGATTTTTTTAAAGCTGATATTACCCAAAAAACCAATGCTTATTACTGTCAAATAAATACATGAAATTCATTGTACATGTACGTTATGTGTCGTGTACGTTGTGTGTTGCTAATATCTCCGTAAGAAATTGCATCATAAATGAAAACAATAAAAATGCATATCAATTTCTGGTGTGAAAACAGCTGTTGAATATAACTGGGTTGACAACTGTAAAATATAGTGCTAGTGGGCTACAGATTCAAGTATGTCTCTGTTTTGTATATGGTTTTAAAACTTTATTAAATACTAATAAGTTTCGCAATATTTGTGTGAGAAAAATAATGTATGCTTAAATGATTTATATTAAGTACAAACAATTGTTTCGGGATCGTATTTTCCTGTAAGTTACGTATATAATTTAAGTAACCATTATCATATGAAGTATTTTGTAATTTTAGAAAGTAAAGCTAAAATAATTAGATTAGGCGGAGTCTTTGGTTATCTTATTATATATAAGATCTAAAAATCCTTAAAGTAAAATCGGCAAAGCCGGAGATTGATAAATATTGCTGAGATGCGGCGGGACGCAAAATCGTAAAAGATTTACATTCACATCAAGTCGCTGTATTCGGGTCGTTGCGATTAAATCAGTTGCAGTGATTTCTCCTCCTCTTCTTTGAATTAAAAACCGCCGTATCCACTTATGTCGGACGGTTTTAAGTGATCAAACACAGTCAAATGGTGTGAGGGATGACTATGTGGGTGAGTATGAGGATGAGTGTAGCTTGGGTAGTTTGCTTGGTGTGGCGTATGACCATATGGGTGGTGTCCAAAGGGATAATTTGGACTCGGAACATGTAAAGTTGCAGTGCTAGTTGGCCCAGTAGTCTGAACGCTACTGCCCAGACTGTAGTGACCGTGTGTTCCTGAATATTCTCCTGTATTATGCTGTGGGTGGGATCCATACGCAGGGCCGTACATCGAATTTACATTAACGGAAGAGATATGTGCCATGTGGTGCGCTTGGTCCACATACATCGGATGCGGATGTGAGTGAGGTGGATGAGGATGGGAAATCGTATGAAGACTAGGCTCAGAATTATTCACATTCGTGCCTAGGCCGCTACCAATCAGTTGAGGTGCATGATGATGATAACCCGATTGATTATGAATGGGATAGTCAATATTGTTGCCAAAATTATTGGTATTATGGCTACTTTCATTGTTTCCCTTTGTTTCTCCGTTACCATATAAAGCTGCGTTGTCAGTTCTTGCAGACGAAGCAGAAGCGGCTAGACTTTTTACCGAGAAATTGTTATTGCTTACATTGCTATTCTCTCTTGTAGCTCTACAAGATTCTCCCTGTGCGGAGTGCTCTTGATTGCATTGCTTTAGTTGCTGCTGTTGATTTTGTTGATGTTGTGGCTGATGTGGTTCAAGCTGATGCTGCTGATGTGGATGCTGGTGGTGCTGCAAGCTCAAGAGACGGCTTTCAACAGCAGCCGCTGCTGCCGCTACTGTCGCTGATGGTATATTGCTGCAATCCTGCTCTCTTATTGCTGGTATTTGATCAACCAGCGATTCGAGTCCACATAAGCTTTTATGAGCGACATCTGAACCGATGTGTCCTGATGGAGAGGAATTATGATGGGTTTGATTTCCCAGTCGTGGACTCAATTCCTGGTGGTGAGCGGAGATCACCATATAAGGATTTGAATTCTGTTCTTCGTAACGCTGCCAGTTCTCCGCCTGCTCCTGATGGAAATGCTGCATAGGGGGATGATGTTGCCGGTGTGTCAGTTTTTGTGCTGGTTGATTACTTTGGTGTGGATGCGGCGAAAGCCAGTGCTGATAATGTTCGTGAGGATGAGCTGTGTTCGCCTCGGTATCAGGTGTGGGGCTATCATACTGGACCTTTTCCATTATTTCAGGGTGCTGATGATCCAAATCAACGGCTTTATTATGCTCCCGTGAGCCCACTTGGGTGTCTGAGTGTTCGTCTGGTGCATCGAAATCGACAGCTGAACACATATTTGGCGAACTCGGAGGAGGAGTTTCACCCAAGTGCGGATGCACAGGCATATCTAGTCCACCGTCCAGGTTTCCATGCTGGGATTGCTTCTGTGGAGGATGATGGTCGTTTTGCGTATCGATAACGGGCGACGTACCCTGAGCCACTTGCCCTACCGGTGGAGTTCCATGTCCATGCACTTGAGTGTAATTGCAGTTAAGGGCAGGAGAGGCCATTGGTGATGCCGATGCTGTGTACAATAGGTGCGACGGTGGGGGGGTATTGTACAAACTAGGCGGCATTTGATGACTGCTCTGCGGAGACGCTGCTATATGCTCCATGGAGAGCGGATGCATTGCACTTGCCGACAATCCTGCTGTCGTGTTTATATTGGTGTTACCGTGTTGCAGTTGTTTAACTGTCAACATGTTGTCTATTGCGGGTTTAAGTTTCTTTGGCCTACCTCTCTTCTTTTTTGGTGTTTCAATGCTGCCACTGGCAGATATCACCGAAAGGTTTAGAATATTATTAAATTCGGGATGGGGTATATGCTGTCCGGCCATAGCAACTTTTCCACCCACGGAATGATCAATAACATCTTGTCCCTTTATCTTTTTTGGACGGCCCCTTTTTTTCTTCTCCAGTGGTTGCTGCGGCAATGGCTGCTGAGAACCGAACACGGATAAGTAATTGTTTTCATTAATTGAAGGATTGAGATTAGACACTGGCTGTAATGGTCTTTTTTCTCCCGTATAGGAAAACGATTCCCCATCAGTTGCATTACTTGAAGATGACACAGTGGGAGGCATTTGAGACATCATTTTTTCAGATTGAACCTGATCTGACTCCTCGGCGACAATCCCACACTTCGTATCCCCTGCGATTGAACCACTGCAGTTACTTACTAATGTTAAACTGGATAGATGATCGCCAAGAGAAGTCTGAAGTGTTTGCTTGATTTTACCACTGATTTCGCCCTGTTGCTGTTCGGTACATTGACGGATCCTTTGATCCGTAAACACGCACTCTGATTCATCGATATGGGGTATCTGTCCGTTCAGAAAGTCACGAAACTTTTTCAAAGCCGCATAAAACGGTACTTTGTCAGCGGCGCGCGGCAACTGGGCGCATCGTGCTGATGATGATGGCATCACCCAAATGAACTGAAATATAAAAAATTATATTTAATAGTGTTTGGAAAGCATATTAGGCATTTATCAAACAACAAAGGAACATAGCTTCGGCAATGTAACGCTCACATACCCTTGCAGTAACTATGTTTTCACAAAAACAAAAAAGTACGATAGTACGAATGCCCTTGAAATAATTATGTATTTAAAAACACTTTTGCATTCCGAATAAGATGCCTTTATAATTAAAAACAAAGATTTCTTTTCTATTATTATATCCGTTACTATTGGAGCAAAGAGGCTTCGTTGGTAAGTTTGTAACATATAGAAGGAAGCGTTTCCGGTTCTGTGAAGTTAAAAACACACTTAAAAAATGTTCGATTTCATAAAATGAAAAAACTTAAACATTTTTTATAAGTGTGGGCGTGAGAATTTTGTGCAATTTGTGGGCGTAACAACATTTGGAAAAAAACTTGCTGCGTCTAAGTCTCTGGAAGCTGCTTGCTTAAACTCAACATTCTAGCTTTTGTAGTTCCTGAGATCGAAGCGTTCATACTGACAGACGGACCGATATCGTCTTGGCTATTGATCCTGATCCAGAACCATACTTCATATGATCGGAAACGTTTCCTTCTGCCTTTTACATACTTTTAGTATATGGGTATGACAACTAACAGGAAAATAAAAAATGATGTTCAGTTCTCGAAAAACAAAGACACGGCAAAAACGGATCGAAGACACGTGCCAAAGGCCACAGAACGCAGAGCTATTTCCTATGCCAGCCTATTGGGACGCTACCAAACACTGATATAAAATAATGAAAATTTTAGAATTTTAAGTACAGAATTTTTTGTTTTTAAATTGCAAAAAATCTACAAATGATATGTATATAATTTGAGAGTAATATCTCCAAAATTCATTGAATTCGGATTAAAAACCTTAAAACAACCCTAAAAATACAACATTTTGTTTCGAATACTTTTATAATACAAACTACAAGCTAATAAATAAAACGCTATAATTGAATTCGTCGACTGTTAGATCCGTTACTCAGATAAAGTCGCGGCCCTGGATAAATTGCATTTGGCAGTTCGATAGGAAATGCTTGTCCGTGACAATTTGAAAAAAAAGTTTTTTTTATTTTATATTAACGTTCTTGAAGATCCGAAACCATCGATATAAAAACATCGGTTAGTGATCATGATGGTGAAGATATACGAGTATACTTTGACGTGGGAAATATTTCATTCAACCTGTTACATACTATTGAACAGAACAGAAGCCATATAAATTTCTTAGGTGCTATTAAATTAATTAGCATGGTAATAAGAAACAAAAACTATTAATTTAACCAAATATTGAAAAAGAACTAATTTGGTGAAAAAAATGTAAACAAAAATGGCTCTGAAAATGGTATACTAGGTGTTGGAATTAATTCGCATCTTTTTTTTTTTTTGCAAAGTTTCGTCATCTATTATGAGGGTATCATTACTGTAGAATCATTCAAAATATTGTCCATCGTTATCTGCAGCCTTTTACCATTTTCTGGTAAAGCTCTTATTCTTCTTATTTCTTTATTTCTTAAGAAAATTAAATAACGTCCATTTGATCCCACGAAATCTTCATCTTCGAACTTTTCGGTTGTCCATGACGTTATTTGTCTTCCAAGTCAAAATTTCTACTATTAAACCACACAAACCACCTTCTGCATGTTTGCTCAGCGAGAGCATATTCACCGTATACTTGCACCAAAATACGATAACTTTTCGTGGCACTTTTCTCCATGTTAACATAATGAAGTAACACTCCCCGCAAAAACAATTTTCAGCACAAACAATTGCTATGAACACAATAACGAAATGTTATATATACTGGTAATATACTGGTAAAGAAGCGCTATGTCAGCAGCTTCCAGAAGAGTATTTGCTTATGTATGTGTGGCTATGAATAGTTGGCTAGCGCCATCAAAAACGATACGAATTTATTTTTTTGCTTATTTATATTTATATTTATTTTATATTTATTATTATATTTATTTGCTTTTGTATGTGTGGCTATGAATAGTTGGCTAGCGCCATCAAAAACGATACGAATTTATTCCAACACCTTATAATTAGAAATTTCGACGAGTTCGAACTGAAAGTATAAAAGTAATATAACAAAATATCTTAGAAATTATTTGTTGGTTTCTTGCTATTCCGATTTTAGCCCTTGCAACTAATGCTATTCGACAAAAATACTTACTGTATCAGTGCCATCGACGCGATCAGGTTGGCGACCAAAGTGAAATTCCTTTTTTCCCGAAAAAACTTCAAATATTAGTTTGCCATTAAATACGGCTACTTTTGGTCGAAACCTTTGAAGTTTCTCCAGCAAAATTCGGCTTCCCTCTTTTATCTCCTTCCTTGTAAGGTCAGCAGATCCTTTCGTGGCTCGAGCCACCATATTGGTGAATCCTATTCCTTGTTTTATCAGCAGGTGATCTTCATCAGCACTCATCTGCTCCTGAGTAAGTCCCGCTAAGTACAGACACTTCCAAAAGTGATTGCCTGGACCTGCGTAGTGGTGTCCCTTGTACGCTGCAAATAACCCAGGATTTATTCCGACCTGTAATGCGGAAAAGAAAAAACTATTAAAATTGTTCTTTGTATGTCAATTTTAATTTTTTGGCATTTGTAAACCCGAAATTTACAACTCACTATAACTATATCAAGGTTATCACATAGATGATCTGGAATTGTCCGTTTAATCACTTCTTCTTCAGACATTCCATTAAATCTGTCATGTTTTTTGCGTTCCTTGGGTTTTACGGCTTGATCCCCAGAGCCATCTTCGCAGCCTGCTCTGCCATCAGATAACCTAGAAAATAAAATATTAATATATTTTTATAACAACACAAAGCAAACACAGCAATGCTTTGTTTTTGTCGATCTTTTCTGTATTATTACAAATTAAAAAGAAAAACAATGTAGTCGAGATTCTGGTCGTTTATATGAATCTCTTTTAAGCTCTTAAACTAACCTGCAAGTCAGATTGACCACCAAGATCACTAGTATTATATATAAGACAATTAAATGGGCAAATACTTCAGTTTTCTCTAAAAATCTTAAAACGATTGATCCCTTAAACGCAAACAGCGCACAAACTACCTTGAAGTGAGCTTAGTTGACACCGCCATGCATGAGGTGGTGGTGCCAATACCTGCCATGACAGCCTTCCTCGACATTGAGGGAGATGTCAGAATCGAATCGACGACCGACTCTCTTCCATTACTTTATGAGTATGGGGTATACAAAGACTGCAGCTGATGTTATACTTATAAGCCAAATCTCTATACAATACCGACTTTATATGACGGCTACATGCTTAGATGTTGGTAGGTCGTGAACGACCTTCTGATTAAGATCTGAAATTGGCATACATGGTTATGCGGATGTCCTTGTCATTCTGATAACGGAAAAGTTTCTTTTTTATAATCAGCGGACCTAAGAATCTTACCTATAAAAATCCACATAGAATGCGATTAGTTTTCTTCGGAATTTGGTTAGGATAGTTCTATTCTTCGATTTCCCCTAGAGTGTATTGGAACAACAATTCTTCCCAATCACAGAACGCATTTAAAATCTTTACGGATAGATAGAAGACTGATGCACAGGTAACAACTAACTCAACTCAGCTTCCAAAAACATTTCCTCAAGCATTTTTCTTGATAAAACACATTTATAGAGGAATTAATTATACTCGGTTGTCTGTCCGTCCAATCGTATGAACGGCCAGATCTCGGGAACTTTAAAAGCTTGAAGGCTGAGATTATACATTCAGATTCTAGAAGTATTAGCAGCGCAAGTTTGTTTCAGAACATTGCCACGACCACTCTAACGCCCACTAACCGCCAAAACTTCCGAAAATGCTGAGAAATAAATGGTTAGGTTCCGAAAACTATTTTATTTAATGAAAAAATTGTGCGAAACGTTGAGCGTGGGAACTTATTAATCCTGACACCGATTTGCAAATGAACCGAAGGACGAAAATTTCTTATTCTCCCGAGCTAGCACACGACCGCTACTCACAGGCAGTTACATATATTGCTAATGAGTCTCTGATTTCATGGACATGGTACGCCTTAAAATCCTAATGTATTAAAAACTTCGCCAGTTTATAAAAAATGTTCAAATGTGTTGGCGTGGCGGTTTTGAGCGGTTTGTGGGCGTTAAGTGATAGAAATTGGAAAGATAGAAATAAAAGGAAAAAAAATTAAAAATTTTTCAAAAGTGTGGGCGCGGCCGTTTTTAGCGTGGCAAAAAGTTTTTATAGTTTCCGAGAGATAGCCAGGCCGACTTGACTATTGATCTTGATTTTGTATATACATTATAAGGTCGGAAATACTTTCTTCTACCTGTTCATCACTTCTCAACAGAGAACCCTATTCTGTAAATATCTACAAGAAAGCATTGTGCATTTGATTTGTTTCCAAATAATGCTCTAGCGTGGTAAAATTTGATCTATCTTCAGCTGTTAAATTTGATCCTAGCAATTAAAGGAATCCCATTAATTGTATTAAATTTACTTCCTGCTAAAAGCAACCTCCTTACGTGTACATTTGTGGCCTGTATTAATCTGAAACTCTAATAATTTCCGTATGAAACTGGGAAGTAATCATACTGTTGCTTGGGCTCGTATGTATATGCTAAGAAAGTTATATCAACTTACTTTTGTTGCTCGGCTGGAATTGTCATTTGTGTGGTATCAGTACTATCAGCAACTAGCTTTTTTTTGCGCCCTCTTTTTTTCGGCATTGGCTTGGAATTGGAATTTATGGCGCGCTGAGAGCTATCAGTTTGATCCAAAATAGCTGTACTTTGTTGACTGTGTCGATATATTTCTCCGCTTAGACATTCGGGAGTTTCATTTGATACTAAAATCCCATATCGCCCCGGCCCGGTTGGGACAGGCTCCAAATGGCGATGTGATGGTGAATGCATGTTCAACTCCTCACCCATAAAACTGTAGGGATCGACAACAGATGCATGACTTGAGCATCGAGTGCCCCCACTCAGTTCTAGATGAGACTGGGAGGCAAGAACATGTCCTTGGCTACCGTTCGATGAGCAAGCATTTGGGTCAGTGTGAGATTCACCGCAGTGTGGAACTTTTGTCAATTGTAAATCATCAGGCTTCATCTGGTTTTGCGGCATTAGCACGATATTCGGATGTTGCATTTGATGCTGAGGAGTAACGGAGTGTGTGGACGAACTATGAGAATTTGGTGTTAAAACGTCGCCAGCACTTGTCTCATAACCATCATCTTGATTCTCAGGTTTTGTGTTGGTTGGAGAAAGGGTTCTGAGAAATTAAAAATAAATATTAAAATTTAAAATCTAAATTTGAGATATATAACGTTATTTTGTACATGTATTTGAGCTGTCAACTGATTTTGTTAAATCTTATATAATAAAGCTCTTTAAGACTATAGACACTACATTGTTGATTCTTATTAGCCCAATGTAGTGGTTCATAGTGTTTCTGCACGTGGGCTGACTATTAAATATATTTAAGTCTACGAGTTGATTTTCAAAAAATTTAATTAAAATAATATTGAATTAAAAAAAGTCTTTTAAATCCTAACAATAAATACTAGTTATCACATTATTACTTTTAATAACCAACATTAATTTCGTAGTCGAAATGTATGCCTCCAAATTCTTCTAGCTTTTTGCTTATAAAACTCTAATTATACAAATGTAAACATCTTATTTTCATTTTAACCATCCTATATAAATGTTGCACGAAATAACAAATAATTTATATAATTTCCTGAATTAGTTTCAGCAAACTTATAGCCTCAAGCCTTGAATCGGAGATAAAAGATCACAAAATGTCAAGAAATTTAAAAATAATAAGAGATTTCGTAGAAATTCTGTATTGAACATTGCCTGACAATGTGCAAATACTTTTGAGCTTGTGTAACTACTTACAATTTAAAGGCATGGTTGGGTTCCTCATGAAAATCATCCATAATAAGATCATGATAGTTTTCGCGCAATGGCAATCGTTGCTGTGTCTGTTGATGTGGGTGCTGATGGATTTGCTGTGACAAATGATGTTGTTGGGAAATAGGAGTAGATTGGTGTAAATGCCCGTGGCGATCCATTAGGTGCTGGTGAGGTGGCTGCTGTTGGTTATGACGTTGGTGATGCTCAGTTTGATGGGCACCAAACATTGGAGAATTTTGATAATGAGCTACATAACCAGCATAACTTGCAGGCTGCTGATGGCGAGGACTGTGTTCATGTATGATTTGTTGATGCTGATTTTGAAGAAGGTGCTGCGGTTGCATCATTTGGGCATAAAAATTATTGTGCAACTGACTGTCCATATTAGAAGTCGCTTCTGATTGGCCAAATTGGCCCGAAGGAGCAATATTATGGTGATCCTGCAATGGAATTGGAATAGCTTGTAAAAATGAACTAGGGCTTTCTTTCTCGATTTGAAGCAAAAGTTCGGAGTGACGACTCTGATGCTGATGGTGGTATGACAGCTCCGAGCTTACATTCATAGGCTCTTGCTTAGTGTCGCTCGATTCTGTTCCTGTGTGTTGTTGCCCTTGGCCGGACTGGTCATGGTGAGGCGTCCATAAAGACGCCCTTCGATCATCCAGCAAAATATCACCTGTTGCTCTCGTTACTACTAACTTAGTAGGAATTCTTAAGTTCAAATTGGAAGAGTCATTTGCACAACCAACAATTTTATCATTTGCTAATATACTTGTGGAACTAGTAGAGTTATACAGACCAGCCGTACTGTATTGCAATTTGTTATCAATAGTTGAAGACGATCTAGTCGAGGATTCGCCTAGAGTGCCAAGCCTGGGCTCTTCAGATTGCCTGCCCGGTGGGCTCGACGAAGAGGTCTGAGGTGCTGGAACGACTAATTCCACACTAGTAACCAGTGCCTGCTCTGGTGGCATATAGCAGTCGTTATCGAATGGCACTATTTTTTCAGGACTTTTTCTTTTTGAATTGCCTATAGACATTGTCCCTTCAATGACACTCTTACTGTTGCCTTTCAAATGCTTCTCCATTTCGGGATATTCATTTGACTTGATGTCTGACATTTTTGTTTTCTGATCCATATCGGACTCGTCTTTTGGATTGTCCACATCATTGTTTTTAATGCTGTTGTGTTCAAGAATGGACAGCTTTAGTCGTTTGCGATTATTCGGCAGGCCAGAGACATACTTGCCTGATTCATTGTTGCCATTTTCTAAATTAATTAGGTATGGTGTTAATGGCATCAATGTCAGTACGGTCCCGTCCTCAGGTCCCGAACTTACATCCACCTCTGATGCCATTACTGTGCAAATAGGTTTTACTGCCTTCTGAACTATTGCTTGCTCAGACAAAACAAAGTTGAAAGTTTGCAGAACCTTTATGGTATATTTTGAGGTTGCAAATGATCTAGCTGCTTGTATTACAGCTATTCGTAAGACTAATGAAGCTACTGTAGGCTTATATGTGAAGGAACTACTTAACAGTGGAATGCTTCCACTTTCCTCTTGCATATCCTATTTAATAACCGTCCATTTAGGAAGAATATATATATAAATCACTTCCAGAAGCATCCTCATCAAATATATTTATTCGATTAAATGAACAATTTCTTAGGTTCGGAAAAATTATTTTGTAAACCGTGTTATGTGCCAGATGCGCTATAAGCTTGCCTAAAAATAAATAACACAAGCCAGTTAATTAGAAGAAATAAAGGAATATAATATGATTGTAAATGCTCATAACCCAACTTCCAATTTTTATTTAATCCTTCATGCAATGCTGATAGACCTTTCTGTCCATTTCCCATAAGTCTTATTATATAGTAGAGTCCCTCAACAACCGAATACTCGTAACTCGATTACAATAATCGTCGTAATTTGACTTATTGTTTAGCTATCAATGTGAGATTTTAACTTTATATTGACTGTTATATTGATATGTATAGATTATCCGCGCTAGTAATTTTGTTATAAATATTTTTTTACACTGGCATTAAACGAATACAATGAACCCCTTCACGGAGTAACAAATGTAATAATAAGCACATAAAGTACCTCGTCCTTTTATATCCTATAAGCATAAAACTGCAGATATAATATTGTTATTATACCTGTTACTCATGTAGTAAAAGGGTATACTAGATTCGTGGAAAAGTATGTAACATGAAGAAGAAACCTTTACGTTTATTCGTATAAGAAACTACACTAGAGAAATAAAGTATTCCAGAGACAGAAGCATGTTACAAGCCGCCCAAACCTGTCACGCCATAATTCTTAAATAAAACAAGAGAAACGCCATAGTCAGTTCACCGACTATCAGATACCTGTTCGTATACGTATTCCGGTATTCCAGAAATATTATGAAATTTCTCGTTCACGCCTTCACTAACTGAGTAACGGGTATCTGACAGTCGGGGAAATCAAAATGAAATCTGTATTATTTATATTATTGAATTTAAAATAAGTTAATTTCGAATCATATGGCCCCGAAAACAGTTCTAATAAAAATATGGTAACGGATTAATCCGCATTTCCCAAGTATTATTAAAAGGCTCTCCAAAGCGAATATTTAAGTAAATAGGACTTTTTAATGGTGAAATATTCAGCAAGAACTGTACATAAATAACACTTCTTTGTTTCTTAAGCCTGCATTCTACATAAGTATGTTGTTGAAATTTTATTAAAATAAATAGAGTTTCATGGTTAGCTTATTCGCGAATTACTTATATGAAATATATGGCAATAAATTTAAAGTGATATTTGCACGATGCATTTAAACTTGTATTAAGAAATCAATAATAAGCATATTAATGTTGCAATATTTATTTTTATAAAAGTAAGTGTAAAGTACCTAGTGTCTTAGAATAAGGCCGAACTTTAGGCCTTACTAAAGAAATTCACTATTTGCTTACCGCAAATATAAAACATTTCTTTATTCTACTTAAAAATTTGTTATCTTTTGTTAATTGCTTTTCTGTAAATCAACGTTCTTTTGAGACACCTATGGTATAAATATGCATACACATAATATTTAGCAGAGCCTCAAAATGCAACGAAGCGAAAAATGGCAGTAGCAAGTTTTGAGTGTGTATGCGTACATGCATTTGTATGCACGTACATATGAACATATGTATAAATCCGCAAGCACCAATGTTGAGTTTACATACATATGTGTGAGTCTAAACTACTGTACCAGAAAGTTTGATAAAATCAAAAACAACAGCCAAATAAGTACGCACTCTCAAAAAAGCTCAAGCCGTGAGTTCGTATGTGTTCAAGAGATGGGTTTCTGAGAGGCAATATGTAGTTACTCGATGTATTCATCACCCGCGTACCGATAATGTATACGATATATACCATATACATATTTTATATGTTATTTTTTATAAATTATATTATATATTATATATTATATATTATATTATATATTATATATTATATATTATATTATATATTATATATTATATATTATATATTATATATTATATATTATATATTATATATTATATATTATATATTATATATTATATATTATATATTATATATTATATAATATAAATGATAATCGACTATAGCGCTCACTCTTGTTTTTATTAAAACTTTATGATTTTCTAAATCTTATTACTTAGCTATGTCTTTGTGATGATTGTTAAGGCGTTGCTTCATATGTAAAATACTTGTGGACTTGTGGATATACTATATTCGTGGGAAAGTGTGTAACAAGTAGAAGGAAGTGTTTCCGAGTCTGTAAAGTTCATATTATTGATCGAGCTCACTAACCGAGTCGATCTGGCTATGCCAATTTGTCCTCACGTTGTTTCGTCAATCTATCAATATATAAGCGCTTTAATTTCGGGAACTATACATATTGATCAGGCAGATACTTCTAAATTATTTTCAAAAAGGCCGTCCAACCGAAAAGGCTTTTCATCTAAGCCGACCTCGAGCCGGCAACAGCGCAGAACAAATTATAAAATGCAAGCTAACTGTTAACTTGCTTGCTTTCACTGTGGACGGCAGTCCACTTAGTGATGAAGCGCACCAGGAGAGTGCAATAGCGACTATAGACATATACACGGAACAATTTTAATTTGCTCAGGTTATCCGATCGTTATATATATACATTTCAGGAGAAAACAAGATAGAATGCTATAGTCGAGTTCCCCGACTATCAGATACCCGTTACTCAGCTAGTGCAATTTCAAACGGGAAATTGCAAAATTTTCTGAAATATCGGTAAAAAGTGGGAAATATATAATAAAACAAACATATTTTTAAAAGTGTGGGCTTAAGAGTTTTGGGCGGTTTGTAGGCGTTGGAGTGGGCGTTGTAACATTTGGAAACAAACTTGCGCTGCATCTATGTCTCTGGAAGCTGCATGCTTAATCTGAAAATTCTAGATTTGGTAGTTCCTGAGATCGAGGCGTTCATAAGGACAGACGGACGGACATGGCCAGATCGACTCGTCTATTGATCCCGATCAATATATATACTGATATATATACTTTATATGGTCGAAAACGTTTCCTTCTGCCTGTTACATACTTTTCAACGAGTCTAGTATACCCTTTTACGCTACGAGTAACACCACAAAAGCCACAAAAATATTAGTAAATTTTTTCAAATCACTAGTTTTAAAGATATTAACAAACACGATTTAGGAAATTTTGTTTTTTTAATTTTAACTTTTGTCATGTGGTTTGTCTGTCTGCAAGAAAACGTGTAAGCAGCTATAATTACCCATCGTTGTCATTACCCGTCGTTGTCATTGAACACAGAAAGTACCACAAAAGTTTATGCCAGTGTATACTTCTGGTCGTTGTATTTAGGTAAGTAACTCCAACATCTTTTAAACTAAAATACATCTTGACGAGTTACAAAAAAAAAACGAGTGACGATCGCACCCTCAACACACAAAAGTGACGAAAAATGATTTTGCACTTGACTTTATAAATAACTTTATAAAATTTACTCATTCGGAACGCTTTAAAATACAATGGCCGGCTGAAAAAGTAAGCCAAATATAATAGTAGTAAACAGATATCATTTTGCTTCACCAACCCCAACATCTCTCGTTTTCAGAATGCTAATTTCTATATTTCTTTTTAGCACTCTCATTAGCTGAATAAAGGGTATCTGTTAGTCGAGGAACTCGATTATATCGTTCCCTCTCGTTAACATAAGACTGGCTTTAAAATTGAGGGATATTCCTCTGAATCAGTCAGGGATCAGTTAATTCTGAGATTATAATAAGTCAAAATAAGAGATTATAATAAGTCTGAGATAATTATTAGTCAAAAGATGCATATAGACACAAATATGTACGAATACGAATTAAAAGCACTGGCATGGTGTATTGTACATGTGCGCACATATGCGAGTGTATGTATCAATTTATTTTTACTTATACTATTCTTTATATGCTACGCTGTGCTGTGCCCGACAATTTGTATTTGGATCCACGGATACGTAATACAGACCCGATACCAAAATAAAAGATAAAAGACTAGTCGCTACTCTTCTCGTTTTTTGTTATGTGAACAATATATGCACATATATACGTATACATATATATACACATATGTATCTGCTTTTCATATGTATTTCTGTGGGTTCACTAGAGATGCTGTTTCTGTTTTCGCTTTCCACAGTGGATGTGGCAGATGGCAGCAAGAGGAGAAGAAGGAGAATGTGCAGAAACGAGAAGAGAACTGAGAGACGACCAACAAAAATAAGTTTGCGTGTATTTGTATTTATGTAGAAAATGTGCGAGTATATGAGTGGTCATGTACTCACGTTTCGCTCGACGGTTTAGGCACAGGATAAGTACGGGGGAATTCGAGCACACAGTACGTAACAGTTACATTTTCATCGAAGTCGCCATTGAAGCACTGCTCCTTAACTGGCGTTCGCAGTATGATGCACATTTTGCATAATTTCAATTTCGAATGTACATGCAGACATATGTATGTGCACACATGTCGGGTATGAATACACACACAGCCGCAGTACAGTAGTTTGCCGCAGAATGAATTTGAATTGCCACACAGCACCGTTGCACAATTTTTCGCAGTTCAGTGGTTAAAATCGCGCTGTATCGGAATCAAAACAGAACTCTGGATGAGATTTATGATAATTTTCCACTTTCTGCTGCTCGTGCACGACGAACCACGAACAGCAACCAACACCACTAACGCCGCAAATAGAAAGACTAGGAAAAATGAGCTTTGCTGACTTATTTGCAGTTTATTTGAGCTTTTTCGTCCAGACGACGTGTTGGATGTGTTACGTTGTCTTTCGTTACGTGCTCGCAACGGAGCTGCGAGAAATAACCTAACGCGTTCTGCCGGATTCTACACGTACATAAATCGAGCGTTCCTTTTGGATGGGTAGTAAAATCAAATCCAGCTAGGGGCATATTACTGAACCTACAGATAAACATCGGCTGTACAACATGCGCAAGCCTTCGCTGTGACTCGAAACACTCTTAAACTCGGATTTGCATCAGTCTTCCTCCAAAGGCGTTAAGGTATTTCAGCACTCAGGCTCAATTCTCCATCTGGTTCTCATCCTACGAATTTGTATTTCATCCAAAGAACAAATAAAATGAGCGAGTGTCGATGTCAGTCGTAAAGGCAGTACGTGTGTGTGTCGATGATGTACGTATTTGATTAATTTTAAATTTTGGAGTTAAGTGAAAAGAGCCTATGCTACAATGAGTCGGGAATGTCAGGTTTAGGAAACAGTAAGGGCTCTTCCATTTATTCGCAGTTGCTTTCACGAGTTGTATCCACACTTTTTTCGGGTTGTGCTCTTGGCGCAGCAGAGAGTGTACATTGAAGCTCCATCAAAAAAATTGTCACCTCTCGTACTTGGTGCATATTCCCCCAATTAATTACATAAACTGTTTTCAAGCAATGTCGTATTCAAGTTTGAATGTCTCTTGGTCTCCTAACACGCCCGTATCTGATGAATATGTACACAAAAAGCAGCTTGTGAAGTTCAAATCCTGTGTGTGTAAAATGGCCTTATCCGTGTTTGCGAACATATGTATGTAAAAACCTTGAAACTTTTCTTGGGTAGTCGAATCAGTTCAACGAATGCGATGGGTGAACAGCTGATACATGTCGAACACGTACACACACAAAGTAAACAACTAATTCCTGTACTTAACGGGTCATTTGATTGTTTATAATAATTTTGAATTACTAGACTAAGGGTAGCTTGCGTTTGCAGCGCAGCGCAAATAAATGTTATGCTTTGAAACATCCATTTTTTAATGTATGTACATATGTATAAGAACATGAGGTAAAAAGTAGACATATTATATGGTATGTATGTATTTATAACTGTACATTTGTCTACAAATGTGTATGTATTTAGGGATTCTTCTTGTTGTTTAACTCAATACCCTTTGTAAGCTCAGTTAAGAAATATCGATTTCAAATTAAAAGTGAATATTTTAAAGAAAATTACATCAATACGTTTCAGTACCGAAGGTCTGTCGACATTAATGCAATTTTTATTAGTTTTGATAAATATTTACGAAAACAAAGTACAAATTGTTTAATGTAAATGACGCGTTTCCAATTATGTACATACACACATGCCTAATATTAAGTTTCAAGCTTTTATAGTTCCCGAGGTCTTCATACGGATAGACAGACGGACATACGAGTACATATGTTCAATGCCAGGTCGACTCTGCTAGTGATCCTGATCAGATATTCGAGTGTATATACATATATATATTTGTACAAAAGAGCATATAGTATATATACATATTAAAATATGTACATAACATGTAACTTGTAACTCTTAAGATCTAAAATATGTGCTTTGAATGGTTCCATAAAATTACAAAAATAGAAAACAAAAACATCTCTTAACGATTTAAAATCTAAAGATCGAACCTTCAATAAAATTAATAATTTCTGATAACTTTTATGACGAAAAATGATTATATTTTCAACTAAGAAATTAGAATGGCTACGGTTTACTCATTACTCTATCCAAATATTATTTTGCGTGCGAAAAGAGCATATAGGAAATCTATATATGTACATATTTATAGTTCTCTTCCCGGTAGACTAGCAGAATTTTCCAAAAGTGGTAAAAACAAAGTTTGTCATATCGAGCTGTATAACTCCAAAACAATATTTAATGATTTGAAAATAAATCAAAACGAAAAAAATGTTTATGTTGAAAAATTTCCAAAAGTCTTGTTTTGGGACAAAGTGTCGGATTTAAAAAAACCGTTTTCGACGCGTGTTTAAAAGAAGAACAACAGTGCTATCATATATCATTTTTAAATGTTTTGTTTTTAGTTTCATCGCTTCTCTCCCGAACCATATATATAATTGTCATGGTCCCTTTAGCCAATCCCTTTAGTTTTTACGTTACCTTTCGATTGGTACAATGCTCGTGTGTAAATTTGCCCGTGTATAAATGTATGTGTAGTAGTCGCCTTCGTACACTTCGTATCACGTATCACTTCATATCGAAAAGACATTAGAATAAGACTAATGTCTAAAGTCTTTTCACAAAAAATAGAACAAACACCATTACTCTACGATATTAATTATTAACTAACGGTGCCTAAATAGTGCCTTTTCTGAAATAAGTCTAAATACGTGTTGCAAGAAAATTTAGATTATCTTCTGAAGAACATTTTTCTTAGATTATTTCTAAACTCTATTAATTCATAAGGAAAATTTGGTTGACCGGACAAAATAAATGGTTATACTTTTAACTAGATGCTGGCAGGTTGAGGCACAAGGGTAGTGCGACTCATATTTAACGGCGGAAGGGGAAAGAAGTGTATCTATTTACCAAGCTTCGAGATTTTATACATAGGTGGTCTCGTAATGTCCGATTTGGGAAGCGGAGATGATGGCATCTCAGGATCAAGTAAGTGAGCCGCTTATCAATAAATATATATAACAACTTCAATATTTCAGAATATAATATTGCAAATATGGAAGGTTCCTCAAGTAGGAACGAGTTCGATTCTTCTGCAAAAGGTATAAATTGAAACATATATTATTTATAATATCTGAATATATCACTTTCTTTTCATTTCAGGAGGAAGCGGAGTAGAACAAGAATTGGCAACGAAAATGCTTCAAATACAATCTAAACGATTTTATTTGGATGTAAAACAAAACAGGAGAGGCCGTTTTATAAAGGTTGCAGAGGTAAACTAGAATTTTGTAGTAATTTCCGTTTGATAAAGAAAATTATTATTTTTTGGCTGATTACCCTTCAGAACGTTGGAATTTTATGTATAACAGATTTAATAATTGCAGATTGGCGCCGATGGTAGACGAAGCCAAATTTATTTGGCACTTTCAACTGCAGCCGAATTTCGTGATCATTTGTCCTCATTTAGCGATTACTATGCTTCTCTAGGTATTTACTGTTCTATTATTGTTTAATTTAATCAATAATTTTTTAAGTACGCACCTATTAAGAAAACAACTATTCTATTTACATTAAATTGTTCTTCTATTTGTTAAGAGTCTGCTGGTTAAACCCGCTACATGTAGAATAAACGTTTTTATACATTCCTTAAAAGAATAGCAAGTTATAGAAGTTAACGTTTTATATACACTCATAATGAAGCATGCAGGTTCTAATGGTTTTGGGCTTACTTTAAAAATTTTGCGGCCACAATTACTTTTATACTCGCTGCTTCTTGAATAAATGTCTGACTGTCCGTCAGTCTGTCCATCCCTATTAGATCTAGAATTCTGGGAGGAGATAAGCAGATTCTAGTGAAGCGTACGCTCTACTGCCACTGCATTACTTTGCCACTTACAATCGTTCAAACAGAAAAAATGTTTGAAGTATTTATGCTTGCGACCTTTGTGCTTTTTCCATATATAGGTTTCGAAGCACACATACGTTAGGTTATAACCAACAACCTATAGTCCAACAACACTAACACTTCTCGCAAGTGTTTTTTAATTTATAGACGATAGTTTAGGTATGTCCTGAATAATATTGGCATATCGAAAGAAAAAAAAATCTTCTATGGCACGACTAAATATCCAAACATTTGTTCAATATAAGGCCTGACAGTTTGTGGGACAATTTGCCACTCTGACAGTGGGTGGTCATGGAAATCATGGAATGTGTATGCCTATTGTTAACATTCGTGATTATATCTCTCTCGCGATCTGTTTAGACTCATTGCTCAGAATTGTTCTGAATTTGTAAAAGTGGCTGCCGTTTTGCCTAATAACTTGAAATCAACCAAACTGGTATTTTTACGGAATTTAGGTAAACTAATTTTTTTTAGAAAAATCAACTTTTAGGTTGAAAAGCATAACATTTTATTTTTTAGACCTTCTTAAGCTGTGGTAGCACAACTTGCTAAGGCTTAACCGCAAATTGCGTAGGCAATTTACAATTTATTGTAATCTTAGTAATAATCTTTCATATATCAAGCTTATCCCATATGTACAGTGGTACCACAGTATCCAGCGGAAAATCACTAGACTGCCACAGAGCCTTTCCAAAAATGAAAAAAAAACAAATCTGATTTTATTTTTTTAAGAGCTAGTTAAAAAATAAATTGTACACTTCAATTTAATATTTAATATTAAGTGACTCGATAACTCTAGCATCAGACAGACAATTTTCTTCGGAACTCACTAACTGGAGGCTATCAGCTGTTGAAAAGTGAACTTGTACATATTGAATTGGAATCGCCAAAACTTCGCACAAATTTTGCAAGCTGTTAGTTATCGAGGAGTTCCAGCGACAGAATCTTAGATGAAAAGTCATCTGATCCTTAGACAGATTAGACATAAAATTTTTTTTGCATATTTATCTATAATACTATCATAAACTATTAATTAAAAGAAAAATACAACAATCGCTATGAAAAAAGGAAGGAAAAAGTGGACTGTCTTGTATTTTTTTTGTTTGCTCTCCTGTCAACATAATTGTCTGTTTTGGAGGCGTTTTCGTTCTGCGGAAATTTAATAGGTGTTTTTGATATGTAATTAGTAAAATGCACCATGTTAATGCGGGTCTGTCATAAACTAAACTTTCTTTATGGAAAATATGATTAGTAGTGCTGTATCTTTCTTTAAACAAGACGAAAAGCACTAAGTTTTTTCACTCCCCACCAAATGGGGATGCCTTTTTACGAAACGGGTGAAAATATCGATTTTTTCAACCCGAATGCAGTGTGTGGGTCACTTTGATACAACATATCTTAGTAAATAATTTGGACACTACACAGGTCCACCAAACACTGACAATTTACCGGAAGATGGTAAACTTAAATCTGAAATGATGATAAAAGATTATCGAAGATATTACTTGGACTTAAAGGAAAATGCGCGTGGCCGATTTTTACGGGTAAAATTTTGACAGTTACCTATTTTCTTGTATAATGTTATAAACTGATTCTTTCTTCAGGTATCGCAAACAATAACAAGAGGGGGGCCTAGATCTCAAATCGCTTTACCGGCTCAAGGCATGATCGAGTTTCGTGATGCTCTTACAGATTTGTTAGAAGAGTTTGGAGCAAATGATGGAGGGTAAAGTATATCTAATATCAAATAACACTGTGCAAAAAAAGAAAACAGAATCCTCCCACAAAAGTGGTCTCTTAAGGATTTTGAGAAATAAAACCTCATAGTTGAAAAAATTTAGGTTTTTTATATAATAGACATATCGAAAATAGTTAATTAAATACTCTTTTATTTTTTCGAAATCAGAACATTTAAATGTTAGTGGTGCCAATATTATACCCATTACTCGTAGAGTTAAAGGGTATACTAGATTTGTTGAAAAGTATGTAACAGGCAGAAGGAAACGTTTCCGACCATATAAAGTACATATATTCTTGATCAGGATCAATAGCCGTGTCAATTTGGCCATGTCCGTCTGTCCGCATGAACGCCTCGATCTCAGGAACTACAAAAGCTAGAATGTTGAGATTAAGCAAACAGTTCCAGAGACTTAGACGCAGCGAAAGTTTGTTTCTTAATGTTGCCACGCCCACTCTGTTGATATTTGAAACAAAACTGTCACGGCCACACTTTTGAAAAATGTGACATCTTTTCATTTTGTTATATTTTTTGTATATTTCTATTAGTTTATCAAAAAACTTTTTGCCACGCCCACATCTACGCCCACAATCAGCCCAAATCTGTCACGCCTACACTTTTGTACAATGTGATATTTTTTCATTTTTAAATATATATTTTAAATTTCTATGAATTTGCCAAAAAAAAAAAAACGCCCTCTCCAACGTCCACAAACCGCCAGAAACTGTCACGCTTTTTGAAAAATTTTGTGATAGTTTTTCACTTTTTTATATATTGTTTCAATTTCTATAGATTTCTAAAATCGTATGAGCTTGTTTTTTTTTAGATAAACTCTTTTGACACTCCGTTTCTGAAGAAATAAAACCTAACTTCGGCAACCCGAAGCTAAATTTTTGAAACCCGTACCATTAAAAATATAATAACGTTCATGAGAGCAAACATGACAAAAAGGTACTGCACAATCTCTTTGACGCCAGAGAAATTTTCTTAAACAAAAGTCGGTATAGGAATTGACTATAATAATATATTTGACTGTTTGAAACAGTGGAATTTTATCATGCAAAATCAATTCAGAAATAATTCAATCAATTAAATACCTGTTACACAGCTAATATCTCCACTTATTAAATAGTAAAAATAGTAAATAAATAGTAAGAAAAATAGTAAAATATAAAATAACAGATTATTTTCTTAAGGCTTGTGAGCGTAAGAATGATCGTGACCAAGCATAACGGTAGAAATAGACAAATAATAAAATAAAAAAAAATCTGAAACTTTTTTTTAAAGCTCGCAATAATTACCAATCAACATTTTAAAATTTCTTCCTTTCGCTGAAACTAGCTGAGTAGCGCTTATCTGGGTTTTGAAGAACTCCGAATATAGCGTTTTACCTTATTTACTTTTAGTAAATATATGGTTATGCACTACATATATCCAATGACTATATAGCATCCCATTGCTATGAAAATGGTCGGACAGAATCTATTGTGACTAAATAGATCGATTGGAAAGCTATTAAAACTGTTGTACCAAATATTAATTATTACTATTTTCTTCAGCAGGTTTAAAGGAGATTTACCTGAAGAACGCCATATGAAGGTGGATAATAAAAATTTTTATTTTGATATCGGTCAAAATAATCGAGGAGTTTACATGCGAATAAGCGAAGTATAAGCAAAATATTTCTATATTTATATAAACCATTTTGATTTATTATATTATTTTCACGTATTTTAAAACTTTAAGGTTAAAAATAACTTCCGCACTTCAATAACTATTCCGGAGAAATGCTGGATACGCTTTCGAGATATTTTTAATGATTATTGCGACAAAATGAAAAAATCGTCCGACTCAATTACTGCCGAAATTAATTTACCGACATCGTCAAATAGTCTTAAATAAACAACATACCGTGATTTATGCCGTCATATAAAAAGGCGCAAAAAAATAATAAATGTCGATTGACCAACCAATATATGTTTGTAATGTCTGACATAACTAAACTCAAAGTCATGCGACTAATTAAGCTTAAATGACACACAAATATATTTATTTTGTAGCATTTAGCGACATATGTTTTAGTATTATATAATTTTGTAATGAAAGAACATAAATTAGTTAGAGTTACATTAGAGAAAATTAAATCCCAACATCTATTATTAATTATATTGTCCTCCTTTGGCTGAAAGTTCGCCTTTTACTTAGTACAAGTAATTTTTAATTTATTCATTGAATTATATGCTTTCCGCTTACAAGTGGTAATTGGAACAGCCTTTTTTACCTTCTCTGCCTTCGGAGCTTGCAAAATATTCCCGTCAACAGATTTATATTTGTCACAGCTTTTTAATGTAATATTATTTTAATTTAACTGAAATGAGGAACAAAATTAATTTTCTTTCTAAATTTTGTATGCAATGACCTCTTTTTTCATTTGAAATTAAAATCAAAATTAAAAATTCAAGTACCAATACACGGAGTAAACGGAAAAATAGGAGAACTAGTCAGTAACAATTTAATCAAAACACTTTAATCATTTTCAATTGAACATTACATTGTTATTATATTAGTTAAAATACAACTGAAACTTACTTTTAAATTAAAATTTATTATTTGTGCCACGAAAAGTACTTTTAATTATATGTATTCCTAAAGTTGATGGGTTATGCCAAAATGAATTCATGTTGATGTAATTTGAAACATCTTTAACAAGTTTACAAAATTGTTAAAACGTCTAGAAATAATATGTTATATATTATAATAGAAATTAACGTAACTGCTAAACGCGTTTTTAAAACAAAAGTTTCATGTGATCACGTAGAATAAAAACTTACTAAGTACGATGAACATGCATAGCAAAATTACAACATAGATCGAAAGCGCAAAACAAGCACCTACCGGATAAATTTCCCTAAAGGAATATCGTGTACAGATTGGGTATACTAAGTAATAAATTAGTACTACTAATTATTTAGTATTGAAAGCTATCAGAATTTGGGTTCAATGAAATTTATTCGCTCTCACCATCTATGTTTCTATTAATATAAATGAGAGCTAATTCACTAGAAAAAAAATAAAAAAAAATTTATTATAATAATATTGAAACTAAAGCATCCGAAGAAGTCCTACAAATTTCCTTACTAGAGTCGATATTAATCTGACTATAAACACAAAACCTTTATAATTATCGGGCAAATGTAAGCGGCAATATGTTACAGAAGATTCAACATAATAGTTAAATATAAAACGTGGGTTTATCTTAAATGTTGTTTGGCCAGAATACAAGTATTTTAAGAGTTTTGTGAATATAACATTGAAATAAAGTTGAATTTTAACAAATTTATAATTTTGTATTTTACCACCATCGAGAATGTTTGAACGGCGCTGTATTGAAAGTCTGCTGAAATAGACCGATCGATACAATTGGTGCTCTTTATTCGAAGGCATCTAAAATTTTTTGGATTGTTATTCATCTTAGCATTCGATTTAGAGACGCAAAATTACGGCCTGAAAAAAATTAGAATCCAATATTGTACATTAAGGTCGAAATTTGTATGAGTAACATTTTTTTCTCAGTTTAATAGTTTTTAGTAAAATACTTTTTTTTCTGTGAAATGTTCTAATTTGTTTCTCTTTGTTTCACTCGTTTTCATCGGATGCTTCGTCACTATGTGGACTGCCGTCAAACAATAAACCATCGTCTCTTAAGCAAAACATAATTTTTATTACCCAATTTAACCTTATTGTCACAGTGGATGCCATTCTACGTAGAGAGAAGAACACAAGGAAAGTGTATGTACTATATAAAATCGAAAAAATTTAAATCCGCTGTATTTTCCAATCATACTGATAAGATACTGATAACTTTGACAAAAAAAACACTACCAAATTTCTTAAAGTTTAAATAAATACAAACATTTTTCGAAAATGTGGCGCATCCTAGTCGTTACTTGAATATGGATGCTAGATTACAGTGGAAACGTATACTTGGACCTGTTACATACCCTACGAGTAATTGAAAAACATAAGATTTATTTGATTTTGAACGTATTTATACTTATAAGCAGTTTCGTACAGAGAAGGGTGTATATTCTCCAAAATAATTATCGGTCTATCTCCCCAAATACGACATCCAAAGTTCCAATTATTGCAACGACGTCGGCTAGCATGTGCTGCTTTCCAATCTTCTCTAAAGCTGCCAAGTGAGCAAACCCTGGAGCTTTGATTTTACAGCGGTATGGACGACTTGACCCATCTGATATAAGGTAAACGCCAAACTCGCCCTTCGGAGCTTCTATTGCCGTGTATGTTGCCCCGGGTGGAACTTGATACCCTTGGGTAAATAACTTGAAGTGGTGAATAAGTGCCTCCATGGATGTCTTCATTTCGGACCGTGATGGCGGAGCCACCTTGGCATCGTCCGACTTGATTTCTCCAGCAGGCATTTGGTTTAGGCATTGATCAATTATTCGTAAGGACTGGCGCATCTCCTCGACCCGGCAGAGATATCGGTCATAACAGTCGCCCTTTGTGCCGATGGGAACATCAAAGTCTACCAAATGATAGGCATCATACGGCTGCTGTTTTCGAAGATCCCATTTTATGCCAGAACCACGCAACATAACTCCACTGAAGCCATAGTTCAAAGCTTCTTCTGCCGTTACGATCCCAATGTCCTCGGTCCGCTGCACCCAGATTCGATTTGTAGTCAACACATCCTCCACTTCGTCCAACCGCTCGGCAAACTTTGATGCAAACTCATAGATATCGTCCATCAGGCCAAGAGGCATATCCTGTCATACAAAGTAAGACAATTATATTATTTTTCAATGTGTGTGCGAATGCATTACCAATGACACTCCACCAGGACGTATGTAGGCAGCATGCATCCTGGCACCAGAAACGCGCTCATAAAATTCCATCATTTTTTCTCGCTCCTCAAAAAGCCAAAAAAATGGGGTTAGAGCACCAACATCTAAGGCGTGTGTTCCGACGGCCATAATGTGATTCAGGATCCGTGTAATCTCGGCAAAAAGAGCTGCGGAAAATAATATTAAAAAAACAGCAAAAGGTATTATTTTTATTAAGGTAAATTCGTCTAGCTAGAGATCTTCAAACCGTATGAAAGATAATAGGTTCGTCTTCTTAATGGAATTTGTGGTAAGGCTGTAATTAGTGGTGGTATGAGAGCTACAAGTCAGTTGGAACGTAGCTTTTCGTAGTTTTTTATAAATTACTTCCCTTCATATCCTTGCGTATTATTCTACCTTCGAAATATGTGTGCATATGGTTTCACAGTGTTTTGTTTTTCTTTTTGACAGAGCAAAGCCTACGTGAACATTTTGCTTTCTTTCAATAGCCAAAATAATCCTTTCACTTTTTTGCGCTTACTTACCCTAAAATGTTTTTAATTGCCTTCGATTTAAGAATAAAGACATTTTTATAAAAAATCTAATCACATTATTGTAAATCACAAATTGTAAACTATTTTTTTATGTAATAAATCAGTAAGTGGCAGTTAAAAAATTGCGTAGCAATTCAAAATTCTAAACTTTAAAAAAACTATTTAAATCGAGTCGCAGAAACCTTGAATTTACCGACTACTGGATGACTACACAGCCTAGAGAGTTAGCAAATTATGCTTACTTCGAATATACTTGGCACGAAGAGGCACGTCGATATTGAGGAGCTTTTCGACAGCCAGCGAGTAGCATTGCTCATTGCACATCATGGAGACATAGTCAAGACGGTCAAAATACGGCAATGCCTGGGTGTATGTCTTGTACTCTATGAGCTTTTCCGTGCCACGGTGCAGCAGCCCAATATGAGGATCGGCACGCATAACGGTCTGCAATAACAGAGGTTTTAATTTTAATTAAGCCAGTGGTCGATGAACAGCTTAAACCTCTCCATCCAGCTCCAGCACAAGACGAAGGACTCCGTGGGCGGCAGGATGTTGTGGGCCGAAGTTCAAGGTCAGATTACGCACCGACTTCTCGACTGGCGTTACCTTGCCTAGTGGAGAGGGTAAATCAAACGATTAGTTTAATGCTTCATTTAAGATAGGGTTACCAACTATTCCATGGTGGCACTTTCCAGAGCGATGTGACCTCGTCTGGATACATCACCGGGCCGCTGAACTGCTTCATAAACTCAGGGTCTGGATACCATTTTGCAGCTCCCCGACGCGTCTCCTGAGAACTAAACACCGAGTTTCCAATAGGACCCGGGATATTAAATGTACATTACAAAAATAATTGGTTTATTCGAATTATGTAAGCATCTAATATTTACGTTAACGCGGTCGATCCTGCTGCAACAAGTTGTGGCCGCAGCCTCAAGTGGGAAAGTCCCGGAATCAAGGTCCGCCTCATAATATTGGCCATCCTAATTCCTCTTTATATGTTTCTAAAATAATAATTCAGGAAGCTAATAAAACCGAGGAACTGTCCGCAATCGCAATTCTATAAAAAAATATCGAACATCAGTTTATAACAGCGAATCAGGTGATACTTATAGAGTATTTACACCGAACACATATCGCTGGTTGTTGCTTCATGAATATTAGGTCCAAAACAAATTAATTTCTTAATATATATTACACACTCTTTCTCAAAATTGTTCTTTTACCCAAATTTTATTTATTGTACAAAACAAGGGGCGTGACTATTTTTTTGAAGAACAGAATTTTACATCATCGCATGAAAAGTTAAATTATTCTTAATTTCAAATTATGTTTAGGATTTATTTTTAAATCAACTAGGAACTCACACAATGGTCATGATACCATAAATTATAAATAAAATCCTTAAATAATTGATTCGTCGTAGTTAGAGAGTTGTCTATTAATATGATACAATCTTTACTGTAAGTAGCATACATCTTTTTTTTTAATTAAATATTATATTCCAATTTTTCGGTTTCTGAATTTAACAAAATTTCTATGTTCAGGCCTCTGTTATATAACGGAAACAAACCTAACTTATATCATAAGCTTATACGGGCCTTAGGGTCAAAATCGGTATCGATTGATTTGTAAAACTATCGATGCGCCTTACTTTCTAGATACATCGAAAGATAGAGTAAACATCGTTTTATTTTCCAGCTCTAAACAAGTTTTTTTTTATAATAGCTCTAGCTCTCCATTATTTATATAAATAATTCTTGTATGTAGACCAAGTGTAAAAAAAACTGTAATTTAAATGAGCTGTTTTCGAGTTTTTTTTTCTTCAGACAAAAACCTGTTTGGAACCATTTTTAACCATGTGAAAATGTAATTTTGAAATAGATTTTCCAAAAGAGGAATATATTTATATGGTCGTGTTTGTTTGTCAATTATCATTATACTAACATATTTGTACCAGTTTGTTAAACGTATTAAAAAAGAATGTTTTCCCGAAAGTAAGATTGGTGTATATATAGAGTTTATACCGTCTCCTCTGGGAGTGTGTCGTCACTGTGTATGTATACAGAAAAGTCTTTGGTGTATACATACATGTGCAATTGTATACATATGCTATTGTGATGTTTTATCACTTGAACGTACAACTTTTAAGGAATATGATTGTACGGTTATAAATTGAATGTCATAAACTACCGTTCCCCTTTATAAGTCAAGTTTACCCAAGTCAAGTTGATCGTGTTATGTCTATGCATGTAAATAAATATTTCTAATATTACCAAAACTATTCTGTATAGCAAATGTACATACATATATTAATGATTGCTATCCCACGATGAATTGATTATTGGTTGCTGGCCTCATTAAATAAGTCGTTTCTCAAGTCGAAGAACTTCCAAAAATCTCGTAATAATACATCCCCGTGGTAGGGATCCCCAGCGTCCCGTATGATGAATATATGTATATACATATAACTATTCTTGATCAGCATCAACAGCTTTTTTCCTCGATTTCCGGCAAATGCAAGGCAATTGCAATACATTTTCATTGACATATAGCACTTTTTTTTAGCTTAAGTCGTTTAGAATTTTGGATAAAACGACAATTTCTTACGGATGGACTAATAATGGGAAAATTTCAATTAAAGTATTGTTTTTATGTTTTTTATTTCACCAAAGTATGAACTAGATTGTAAAGGATAATTTAGGTTCCAAAGGTTGCGTTACATTTTCTGTTAACTTTCTTAGGCATTTCTTATATACCAATGCTGAATAATAGTTTTATAAATAATAAGTGACAAAGGCTCCCCAACATACAAAAGTTATAATATTTAACTCTTGTGCCGAAACATTATAATGCACCTTACTCTATAAACACACTACATAAAATTGAGTCTTTCACAAGAAACTGTATATACTTTGCGGATACCGCATATAAGTCTTTTGGTGCGCTTTATCACAACTTGGACTGCCGTACAAAGTGATAAAATCTTATTGCAGGTTACACTAGTTTGAGCATTTTAATTGAGCGTTTAGGCGAGCATTGCCGCGAATTCCCGATTGGCTACAACTTTTTGAAAAAATATTTATTTTATTGGTTGCAGATGGAGCAAGACACATTGGTGTGGAACGACACGGATGTAGCTGTAGCCAGTCAACATATTCTTAATTCGGAGGCTTATTGTATAATATATCGAGACATTCAGTAAGGAAGCTACTAACGATCTAACATCGAAAACATTGCCAGCGGTATGCAAGAACGATCAAAGGAGCTACGTCTTACTGTTTCCTGGACCCAGTCAAAGTCTCAGATTCATGACAGTTATAAACGTCGGAGTATGTTGGCATGTAAGAGAAGCCTAACTACCAGTAAAGTGCTTGAAGACTCACATCCACCGCTCTTAGTAGCTTTCCCCAATTGCAACACTCATCGACAGCAGCAACACAAGGAGAAACATAAAGTTCAGCTATACTCTGGAAAACCCTTAAGCATTAAGCTGTACGTGCCAGGAAGTATTGAGAGTATACCGAGAATTCGGCATAAGACGCTTACGACGACGAATAAACAACAACCAGCTATGCATCGAAAGTCTAAGAGCAAAAGCAAGTTCCAAGCCTTCAACGACCTTACGCCGCTTTATTCATCAAGTGAAAGTCAACCATCCGCGAAGCATTCATCTGCACTGGTGGAAGCAGGGATAGAATCAAAGACATCACGTCATTTTCTTGGTAAAAAGAGGATTAAGAACAGAAACAGCTTGTTATCTTCGTCCCAGCCCTCACCGGTGAGATGCAAAATGATGATTCCATTTCCAACATTTGGGGCCACATCCTTTGTTACGTTGCTCACTTTAATTTGTATGGAAACGGTTCTGCTCTCCACCATGTCCAGTTGCGCTAAGACTTTTTACATGCATTGGAACACATCAAACAGCATGTAAGTACACAAATATAGTTGTATACTTAAACAGACGGTATTTTAATTTTATTGAAATTAAGTGTATTTTTGTTGCCCTATAAATGTATTATGTTTTAAGACATTACAACTATGGCTTTCCAAAGTTATATTTTAGCGCTTAAGTGGAGAAAAGTAAAAAGAGTAACATTTTTTCGTATAGGGGATTTGTCAATTCAAATAAAATTGATTTTTATCAATAATTAATCATCTGGCTAATAATGTATTGATAAATTCTTTTTTTCAGAATGTACTAGATTCGTTGAGAAGTATTTAACATGTACAATAAAGTGTTGTCGACCTTATAAAGTATATGTATATTCTTACTATGAACGTTTGTATATTTATCAATCCGTCAGTATAAACGTCCAGGTTTTGGGAACTTTAAGAGCTAGATAGTTAGGACAACGACATTAGAATAAGTAGTTGTGTAACGCCATACAATTTTTTGCACTCGATTTATTTGTGCTGGCTCCAGGCTCTCGAATGTGGGCGGGCTCGCGTATGCTCAGGTATTCTAAATTTAACAAAATATGCTCTTTACTTCAGAAGGTTATAGAAATAGTAATAGGTAAATAAGGTAGAGTATTCAGCTTTCGACGTTGAAAATATATTTTGTTAGGTGCTTATGTCCGCTGGTTCTGCGTCAAGAATTAAATTTTTCAATAAACAGGTTGCATATTTGAATTTATTTTATAAATATTAATTGTGAAATACGAATTACTTTTATAAAATATATTTCATTTTTTTTTTAAATATATGTAAATTTACCATAATAATTTCTTTTTGCCTGTGAAGTTTTTTTTTAATTATTTAGTATATTTATTAGTACAAATTAGTATTATAAAAGTTACTAGTACAAGTAAGCTGAAATTCCTAAGGAACATTAAATATCACTGGAATAGTATGTATATATTGTCTTGATGGTTTGATCCAAACTACTGCAGCTAAATTTTGAGTCGTCAAAAATATATGTATTTTAGGATCAAGAAAATAACTTTTTCTTTTTAACTAGTAAGTTAACCAGGATCCCCTTGAAAATATTTTTGCGTGCATTCGAGCAAAAGTTGGTAACTGTAGAAATTCACTAGTTAACGAATTTAATATAATAATTGCCAATCTAATATACCTACACATTTTGAAATTGTCACAAAAGTCGAATTGCGAATCAGATGAATATTTAATTTTCAGAAATTGTACAAGGCAATTAGAGGTACTTTGATCAAAATATGTATGATTTTTTGTGCCTGATTTACCTATTGAATTAACTTCGAGTACATCTTTTGTTGGATATATTGCTAAGGGATCCATCCAGTTGCGATAAATGTAGATCGTTAATCTTAACAGAAATCGAGCTCTATCAGAGCTTTTCATACATGAGAAATACTACACGATAGAATCGGACTTGGAAAACTAAAGGCACCATGATAGTTTTTTTTAATATCTTTAAGATATACATTAAAGTTTTTGAAAACATTTTTAAAAATAATAACAACTCTGCAGAGCAATGCATTAAGTGCACGAATAAAAGTGGCGATTTCTCATTATGGTTTCACTTAAATAATGAATGTTATGTGCATAAATTAATCTTTTAAACAAACTTATAAAAGTTTTACTTTTGAAGCCTTGCAAGTGGACTGTGATAGCTGATAGAAAAAAGATACGAAAAAGATAAGAAAAGATAAAAGATTATGCTCTCAATTTTAAGCGAGAGCAATTATTGCCGTCACCAAAAAAGTGGCTACATAGTGAAAAACCAATGTATCTTGTTATTCTAATGTCTTCGGTTGGGAGTAGTATGAACGAGGAGGCTCGGAAACCATAAAACCTAGAAAAGATTTTAGAGACTTAGACGCAGAAGATGCCCAACGCAAGGTCCTCTATTACCTGAGTAACGAGTTGTTTGATATTATTTTGTATTCCAAAAGTTTTATAAGCTTAAGACTGAAATAGAAATCGAATTAAATTTTAAAAATTTACAAAAAGTACCAATCAAAATTATATTTTACCTATAAATTCCACAAATTATGTAAAAAAAAACCGTGATGCCGTGATACACCATAAAGCACATAGCGTTTAGCACAATTTCATAGCCAAGGCATTAAGAAACTTTAACAAAAGTTAAACAGTTAAGTCTAGTCTAGATAGGAAGATGATACTGACCCATTTTCAAAATGTTAATTTTCGAATTTGTACTAAACTGAAACTAATGGACCATAAGTTCTTATTTCGTTTTGCACTTATGTAATTGAAAACCGTTATCTGCCTTTCCCTGGAAAACAAATTTAATTTCATTACATTTTCTTATCCACAGATTTCGGATTGATAACACTGATCATATTATCGATGTTAATAAAGGCAATCTTGCGTTTGAGTTCGACCAGGTTCATATAATATGCCCAGTATATGAGCCAGGGACTTTTGAGAACGAAACTGAAAAATATATAATTTACAATGTGTCTAAAGTGGAGTATGAAACTTGTCGCATAACAAATGCAGATCCGCGAGTAATAGCTATATGTGATAAACCTCAGAAATTAATGTTTTTTACAATAACTTTCCGGCCATTTACACCGCAGCCAGGTGGCTTGGAGTTCCTACCTGGAAATGATTATTACTTTATTTGTGAGTTCGTTTTTGATTCCTCCATTTAAATATAATACTATTTTTACTGTTTATTTAGCAACTTCATCTAAGGATGATTTATATCGAAGAATTGGAGGTCGATGCTCTACAAATAACATGAAAGTAGTCTTTAAAGTGTGTTGTGGCCCCGAGGACAAGAACAAAACCACGGTGATAAACAATTCCAAATCTGGTACAGACACTGGAGGAGTGATCAACGTCAATATAGCGAAAAATGATGATAGTCATGTTAATAGCCAGGGCAATAACATAGCTATTGGAAACAACATTGGTATAAATGGAGGCCTAATTTTAGGAGGACCTCCGTCAGCAGGAATGCCAATTAATCCACTCAACGGAAATAGCAATTTAAATGGCATACCAACTACTATTAATTCAAACATTGATCAGTTTAATCGGATACCAATCCAGCCAAACATAATCGGTAATCATGTAGGGACTAATGCCGGTGGAACTGCAATTGTTGGTGGTGGAGGGATTATATTAACTCCTGGCCATGGTCATGGCAACATTAATATGCTGCAACCAGGACGAGGTGGAATGAATGGAGCATACCCCGGACATCACCACATTCAAACTGGAATACGGATAAACAATGTGCCCACGCAACACAGCTATCCATCCCATAAGGGTAATGCTAACAGTAATATTAACGGAAACGGTACGTAATGGCATTTAGCACAAGAAAGAAAACAAATTATGAAGCATACAGGCAAAAAGTACTCCTAGGTACTTTTTTCCAGTTGTGTTTATACCCGTTACTCGTAGAGTAAAAGAGAAGAAGGAAGCGTTTCCGACCATATAAAGTATATATATTGATCAGGATCTATAGGCAAGTCGACCGGCCCGCCTGTCCGTATGAACGCTTCGATCTCAGGAACTACAAAAGCTAGAATGTTGAGATTAAGTCCAACGACTTAGACGCAGCGCAAATTTGTTTCCAAATGTTGCCATGCCCACTCTAACGCCCACAAACCGCTCAAAACTGTCACGGCCACATTTGAAAAATGTGATATTTTTTCATTTTTTATATATTTTGTAAATTTCTACAAATTTGCCAAAAAAAACTTTTTGCCACGCCCACTCCAATTTTTTAAGTTTCTCTTCATTTTAATATTTTTTCCCCAGTTTCTACCGGATATTCCAGAAAATTTTTAAATTTCTCGTTTGCACTTCCACTAACTGAGTAAGCAAGATTCGTAAAGGCCGTATTAAAGTTGGTTTAATAGGAATTCCCCAACCTTTTTGTGATGCAATTAAATTATTTACAAAAGAACAAACTTATCCTTTATTATCTAATTATTTAAGATATTAAATTTCTCCTTGTTTTTATATATAATAAATATTTTCAGATGACCACCATCATTACAACAAACATCCCAACGAGGTTGTAAAAAATGAAGAGCTGACATATAATAGTGGCACAGCGACATCGGATGGTCACATTTTCGCTTTATGGATCTGGATCTTAACAATTTTCCCACTGCCATCTATTCAATCTTGCCATTTGTCTGCATATTGGATGAACTCATCATTTTGTTTTAGCGTTTTTGCAATCCTTGGCATCCATTATCTTGTTCAAAGCACGTTGCAAACCACGTTTGCGATATAGGCCTGTTATGGTTGAAATCACTGCGACCTCTATAAATGGGATGTTTTGCCAGAAAGCAGATCTTTAAATATGACCCGTACATTTTTAATGAACATTCGATTTTGTGTTCCCCTGTTCAAATTTATTTTTAAGAATGCCAATATCACACAATATTATTTGTCTCTTCTCCGGCTATTGCTATATAAACAGTGATACAAGTAGTGGATTGGAGAGGTTGGAATCAAATGATATGCTTATTGATATTGATTTGGATATGTAATTGCAATTGATCGAGTTTCTGTGACTCACAATTTAAAATAATAGATCAGAAAGAAAGGAGAAAGGTGAAATAGAATTAATAAGTAAAGAAATTAAATATATCGAGTAAATTAAAACTTAGATTTAGTGGTTTAGATATAACTAATAATGCTTAAGAAAAGACGGAGGAGAGTAATGGTATTACGAAACAGAATAATACAAAAGGCCATTTGACACTGCCTAGCCACTGTGTCTTCTGTCCTCTCTTTTATTGTGTCCTTCTGGTTTTCCGAAAATACTTATAGCGGTATGTGTGGGACAGAAATATAATATATTCCCATTTATAACCAAAAATGGTAAAGCGTTGTAGCAATAACAAAATCATTGCAGCTATAGTTTTACCTGACTTCGTGACTGTCAGTTAAAATTATCATTCCGACTTTCTTGTTTTTTTTTTACCGACATACTGAAGGAAATTGTTAAAATATTCTAGAAGAAAGAATCGTATGGCTTTGGAATGGATTAATTCAATTACAGTTTCCCATTAAAAATCCCAATACTGTTTGAAAAAAAGTTATCCTGTACGAAGGATATTTTGACTGAAATTAATTAGCATCGCTGACTAAGAAAATACTTAGTAAATAAGACAAGTAATTTAAAGTAATTTAATTTTATTGCTAATTGCGGATTGCCACGCATAAGTATTGTAATTGTATAAGATCAAATGAAACGTATGTATGTCTTTCGTATATGCATCCATGTATATTTAAAATCGTGGTAGGTATTTTGAATATGGTAAAGGTGAAATTTGAAGAACTCAACTATAAGTTCTATGTTCTTTTTTGTTTTGTTTTATTTTATAATTCCTTTTCAATAATAAAATTTTATTTTGTAAATGAACGAAGCAGTATAGAGAAGTGATTCTTAACCTTAAATAAAGTATATATGTATATACATATAGCATTCACATACTTATATACAAGAAATGTTTAGGTGAAACGTTATAAACTTTGTAAATTTAAAATAACTTAACTAAAAATTACTAATATCGTAAAATCGTAAATTATTGAATATATATTAAGGCATCTTGTGCTACCTTTATGTGAAAAAGGTTACAATTTATATACATAGTCTATATATAGTAAACAATTTAATTATTTAGGCCGTGATTATGTGAGCGTGTCTATAATTTACTCGTATAAGCATGTGAGTAAAACGAAATTTGCCACAGTGAGTTCACTATTTACAAATTATAATTGAAGATAGGCAGAAACAAACATCTCATATTATATCGGTGGGGTGTGTTCTAAAACTGTGCTTTTGTCGCGACTAATTTAACACCTACATTGTGCATTACGTGTAAACTTCGTCGTGTTTGACCTGTTTTGCTTATTTTTTTGTTAGGCTGCTGGTTTACTTACTGCATTAAAGCCTTGAAGGTTCAATACATTTTGATAAATTTTCGGACAAATTATATTCTTATACTGCCACAGCAAAACCTGAACACTAAACCGAATTTATTACGATCCAACGGTGGAAACCGAAATCTAGATTCAGTCCAATTCTATGAGTGAATACCTTAAAAATATGCATTGCTCTACTTAGACCTGTATCCAAAACTTTCTGCCAATGTATTAAATTAAGCCTTTAAAACGACGAAAATGTATTTTTTAGAATTACAGGTTGTTATTACATTGGCAGGATAATATTAATGCGGACCGTACTGTTAATTAATCAATTACTTAATATCATACTTACAAGGAACATTACATACAACATACATAGATTCATACAATAGAACCGTAACTATCTACATATTATCTGACAAGAGTCAGAATTATATAAGGAATCGTTAAGATAACACATATTCATTCAACACAGATTGCATAAATACAGCTTTATAAGCGAGCAGCTTTCTAAAAATGTTCTTGGACAGTAAACAGAATTGAAGACTTTTACTACCTTTTCTCTTAACGCCTACCTACTCGCTCCTGTCTTAGGGAATGATTTCGTTTCAACACAGACACATCTTCATCACCATTGGGGCATACTGTAAGTTTCTTCATGAGCAAAGCTTTCTCTGATAATTAAATTTCATATCGATTATTAAGCTGCATGGTGAATAGGTTTTTGTAAGCGGTGCAGTCGGAACAAAACACGCAATTAAGTATTTATATTCTGAATTGTAATAAGCAACTGGTCGTATTGTGTTGATTTATTTGACTCTACTTAAATTGACGACGCTAGATCGTTTAAAAACAGCATTAATCTAAATTCTCGATTAATTTTTTAGGACTGAATGGCAATGCACAAAATAATTGTAAACATAATGATTCAAAACCATACATGCCGATCGATTAGCTTATATGATTTGATATGGTGGAATAAAAAAAATTCTTACACTGCAACCACGCTAGTATGCAATTGTATGTTACCAGAAAAAAATATATTGTAGTTTTTAATAGTAGCGCAGCATATATACATATGTATATATATATATATATATTTATATGTATATTTATATATATGTATATGTGTATGTATATATGTATACATGTAAGCAAGTGCATATGGAAAAAACTATGTATGAGCATAAAAAATAGCCAAGGTAATATTGAAGATGTGGCAAGCAGATGATTAATTATATTAATAAAAATATAAAAAAATTGAATCAACATACCTATAAGTTTAAAATACCGTGAATTTGATCAGGTTCTTAAAATTACAGTTTGTAGGTATTTCGACAAAGGCAGCAAACCAAGGGCTCACAGTAACACTATATCTTCGTCACCACCAATACGCTAATGAGTGCAATTTTAGTATCGAATAAAAGAACAATTCCACTAACAATAAGCTTCAGTACAAACTCTGGAAGTATATAATAGACTTCGTCCTTGCATAGCGTTTGGATTGCAACATTAACTCAAGAGCAAACGATATAGTCAAATTCCTGGACTATCAGATACCCGCTACTCAGCTAGTGGGACTGCGAACGAGAAAGTTTTAAATTCTTTTGGCATATCGATAGAAATTAGCAAGAGAAATAAAAGGAAAAACAACGCTATAGTCGGGTTTTCCGATTGTTAGATACCCGTTACTTAGGGCGAACGAGTGCGAACGTAGAAGGGCGAACGAGAAATTTCTTCACCTTACGACTAATTTTTTCGAGAAATACATAGCACAAAATAAAATATTAAAAAAAAAAACATTTTTTCAAAATGTGACAATTTTGGGCGGTTTGTAGGCGAGGCAAAATGTTTTTTGGTAAAACGATACAAATTTATATGACTGAAAAAAATATTAAAATATTTTTCAAAAGTGTGTCAGATTTGGGCGGTAGAGTGGCCGTGGCAAAAAAGATTTTTAACATATCGATAGAAAAAATATCAAATTTTTCAAAAGTGTGGGCGTGACAGTTTTGGGCGGCTTGTGGGCGTCAGAGTAAGCGTGGAAACATTATTTAACTTGCGCTGTGTCTAAGTCTTTTGAATCTGCATGCGTAATCTCAACTTTCTAGCTTTTATGGTTCCTAAGATCTCGACGGAGAAAAAAGAAAAAAGGAAACCGTTTTGAACGGTTTGCAAAACTGCAAGCGTAATCACAAATCTCTAGCTTCTATAGATCCTGAGAACTCGACGTTCATGCGGACGGACAGACGGTCATGGCCAGATCGACTCCGCTTTTGATCCTGATTAGTACGTTCTTCTACTTTTCAAGGAGTTTAGTATACCCTTTTCCTCTACGAGTAACGGGTGTAAATAGAGTTTGCCCAATGACGCTACCTTGATGAACGATATTTAATTAAAGCACTACTTACATTCCACCTCGTAGTATTGGAGAGGTGGTAATCAGTAATCAGACTGGGGTCTTATTTGGTTTATTCTGTATGAACAATCTTGCATCTGGTCTAACTCGGGTTTCTAACTAAACCTGCTTACAACGCAATGCAAGCAAATGTCTATGGCGTAGGCGTCACGAGGATCTGCATCTTAGCTTCAACTTTCCAGCTTTTATAGTTCGCGAGATCTCGACAATCATACGAACAGTACATGTTCATACGAAGTGACATGTCCAGACCGACTAGGCTAGTAACTTTTATCAAGAACATATATTCCTTCTCATTGCATTTTTGCGCCGACAAGTGTTTCAATTGTAAAGCTATCTACATGATCTTCTCGAAAAGTTTATTGTACAGAAGGCACTATATAGGTCACAGTAGGAGAGATCGGACTTCTTCATCATTTACATATGTAGCTGCCATAGGAACAGCATTAAGATGAATTCAAAATAATTAAGAAATATTAAAAAAAATACTAGTTTCTACAAAGAAACAAACAATTGTTATTCGGGAAAGTTTTAGTGTTTTTTATTTTCCTTTTTTAGAGGATATAGTGAACTCTAGAGAGTAGAGCGAACTGGTTGAGACTGGTTCCACTGAACCATCATCTACAACATTACACTTTTTCACCGCGCAGCCTCCGTCAAATTGCAGAATACCACCACCACGCAGGCCACCAAGAACAAGACCTCGAACTGGACTGGTACATTGTCGGACGCACAGTTATAAGAAGTAATTGCTTTTGCATTTCCTCAAGAAATGTAGAGCTGTAATACTACTTTCGGATTTTTCGTAAAAAGCATTAACGATCTTTTAGTAGTAAACCCAGTACAAATGTGCATGTAACTCAATTTATGCAAGCTATTTCACACTATTCCACAAATATTTGTGACAGTGAAATAAGCCAATATTGGAGCAAGGTCACTCATAACTCCTGTGAGGGACAAACATTTTTGCTGGCTCAAGGTACATCGGTTGACGTCAAAACTGGTTTCCTAGTTACTTCATTTTTCACTTATGTACTATGTACTTATTTGATATTATATGTGAAATAAACGTAAAAGATTTACATATGACAAGATTAATTGACAAATGGTAATTTTAGCTTTAATGGCCCTTCTATAACTAAACGTAATATAATCTGATCAGGCGATCAAGGCAAATTACATATAAAGCATTTAATGTGTAAGACTATATAACCTTTAATTTTTTACTTTCAGTACGATCCGAAAAGATTAAGAAAAAAAGGAGCCTGCCATGTCATGGGAGAGCATTAATTCTAAGGATCTGCTTAGGTATTCAAATACATTTATCATTTTAAAAACTAATATCTTATGTTTGTATATTTCCTTACGCTCCATTTCATGTTACCTCTCTAGCATCCCACCAAGCCAGAATCTGTCTGCAACACGTCTACTTACATCACCTGATGGATCTCGTTACCTATTGGAAAATTCTAGCGGTTTGAATATTACTTCTATAAAAGTATTTAATAAAAATTTATAATTTATTTGGTGTGCTTCATATATGATATCAGTGTTATGTTGATCTCTTTTAAATCTTAAACTCCATTGGCTATATACAAAAAAACCCAACCAGCAAATTTGTCATGTCCATATCGTTTGACATATGTATGTAAAACTCGTAGTATTCAAAAAAGGGCACTGCGATAGAAAGAAATTGTCTGTCATAACTTTCGTGCGTGAAGGGTGTGTGTACCTACACTTGCTTTTTCTGTTTTAAGTTTCAACCTTTAAGTTGAAGGACCCTATTTTTTTATATTTTATTATACATTGAAACAGTCGGAAAATGACGAGCTATTTAATGTACACGAATCATATCATCGTTGTGGAGCGAAAAGAGTTCTGTATTTATCAAAACATAAAAACCAAAATGAAATCTTCGGCTTTCTTCCTTCTTCCGACTATACCGTTCTCTCTTGTTTATTGTATACCAAACGGCCAATACACAATACGGGCATTGCTTAAAAGTTCCGAATTGGTTACTTATATTTTATTCATTAAATTAAACTAAATTGTTGATAGAAGAGGTGGCACCTTGTTCCACCACTAGGCTATGTGAAAAAGCTATGCATTTTGCCCATAATCAAACCGAAACTTAAGTCAAAACTTTTTAATTAAAAACCGGTGATTCAAACTTTTGTTGAAGCTTCATGAGAATTCTTAACAAAACATGAGTTATTAGCAATCGTTACATATTTTACAGACTTGTGTCAATTAGATGAGAGTTTTTCGCGTTTGGCGGGATATGGATCCAGCCCTGACGTAGGAACCCGTTCCGTATGGGCTAGCCAGGCGCTATTACGATCAGGTTCTATTATTAGTTGCTTTTTGTCCTGCCAGCAAAGCCTAAGGCAGTACATAGCTAAACGAAAGGTATGGCACTTATAAATACACATATAAATATTACCAAGGTATATGTTCTTCTTCCAGATCGAGCGAGGACGACGTCTATATGAGCAAAACAATCAAACGGAGGCCGTACGCACTTGGCGTAGTGCACTAAAAGGGACCTGCCAAAGAGAGGACTGCTTTCAGCTACTGGGATACCTATATCAGGCACATATGGACTGGGGAAAATTTCGTGATGCAATAGAATTTAGTCATCAGCAGCTCGGGTGAGTTTCGAGGAATTAATATATGTGTTCTAATAATAGAAATTTGGAAAATATAATAAATCGAAATAGCTCAACAATTAAATAGTTAATATTATTGGTATACCCAAATGGGCAAAACCAATAATAAAACGAACAAAAATGAAAACATTCTTCATAAGTTGAGCGTGACAGCTTTTGACGGTTTGTCGGCGTAGGCGTGGGCGTGGCGTGGACGAGTAACCGGGTATAATTATAATAATCTCTAACCGGGTATTTTATAGATCTGGGGGTCTTGCTAATTTCTATTGATATGGAAAAGGTTTGTTCTCGCTCACTTTAAGCCCTTGTTATACTACTCGTAAGGGGGTATACTATATTCGTTGGAATATATATTCTTGATCATGATCAATAGCCGAGTTGATCTGGCCATGTCCCTCTGTCCGTATGTACGTCGAGATCTCAGGAACTATTAAACCGCCCTAAGCTGCTACGCCCGCACTTTTTGAAAATGATTGGATATTTCTTAGTTTTTTTTAGTCTTATAAATTGTTATCGATTTTCTAAAGCTGTTTGCTAAGACGCCCATTCTATTGAAAAATGTTTTCAGTTTGTTTATCCATTTTATATAATTAAGATAAGCACATAGCTTATCTAATTTTGGAATTTTCTCCCTCACACCCCTCAATTTTCGTAGAATTTCAGAGGAGCTGGATTCGCCAAATATGCGAGCTGAGACGTACTTAAACCTCAGCAGGGCACACGCCAGTTTGGGAGGCTTGGAGCGATCGTTGAGTTATGCCAGGCACTCACTTTACAATGAATGCGGCACTAAATGCAGAAGTGGACTTGTCCATTTGACGGTTGCACGAGTATACCTAGAAATGGGTGGGTTCTCTAGGGCTTTGGAGGGCTTGCAGGGTGCCTACAAAATTGCTACGGCTATAGGAGATCCATCACTAGAGTTACAAGTATATGTCGCGCTCTCTGAGCTCTTCGGGCGACTTCAGGATAACGATAAAAGTGCAACATACGCTTCTAAGGCCTACGACTTATCACGATCCCTGCAACTCGGTGACCTAAACTCATGCCACCATAGAGCAGCTCTATTGCGAATGGCGGTGTCTCTCCGAAAACAGGGTGAGCTTGGAGATGCACAAGATTATTGTAAGGTATTGTCGAGCCTGTTCATCAACTGAACTCCAGATGTGTGCATCCAGTATCATTATTTCGTTTCAGGAGGCCACAAAGCTTTCACTTATTTCTGGAGACCAGGCGACGTACACGCGAAGTATTCGCGTCATGGGCGACATTTACCGAAAGAAAATGGACATGGATGTAAGTATTGCACTGCGAGGCGGTGTTCAGTGCGCACTTTTTATAGTTCGTCTGACGACCACGTGCTTCTTAAAGCGTAAATTGAATTTTGTTCGGATCGACCAGTCATTAAAACTGTATGAGAAACTATAAAGCCACCGCTGGCTTGTAAAATTTCCTTTCCCCCTTTTTGCCAGTGGGATACCTGAAGCTACATATGTACATATGTGTATATCATTGCAGTCATGAAATATAATTATATATATATATAGTAATTATATAATTATATTTACCAAATAAGACATCTTTATGTTCAAAAACAGCGAAACTACGAGTTCTTTTCTACTATTTTCCTATGGCAGCTGTGTATATGATACAGTCGTGAGATCTTGATAAATCTAAAAACAAAATAATATATTGCCAAAAAATATATAACAATAATAATAACAGAGATGGAGAGCTATGACCGGTATGTTGTTTTTTCAAAGCAACTTTGCTGTGAACGCTATCCACATCGTAAGCCAAATCAACTTCTGTGCCCAAAATAATTTTTAAATTATACAAAAACCCTTCTCTGGCATACGAGTAAGAAACCTCATTTAACCTCTGAACCAGGTATCCACTATTTTAGCTGTTATTTCCATATTCAACTTGTTTGAATGGAGGTAACATCGAAAAACGTCTATTTTCATACCCGTTACTCGTGAGTAAAAGGGTATACTAGATTAGTTGAAAAGTATGTACCAGGTAGACCCGATCTGGCATTGTCCGTCCGTCAGTCCGTCCGTATAAATAAAAATAATATGTTTCTTTTTTCGTTGTATTGTTTGTCTCTTCAATTTCTATCGGCATACCAAAAATAATTTGGTCACGTCGCTTTTAACGCCTATAAACCACACAAAATGGTCACTATTAAACAATTTTTTAATATTTTTGCATGTAATTATTTTTTCTCAATTTCTATCGAAATAAAGAAAAATTTTGAAAAATCTCGTTCGCACTTCCACTAGCTGATTACAATAATGAAACCCTTTTTCAGCGTGCATTCCGGCAATATGAACAGGCTATGGGTACGTCAGCAAGCTTAGGAGATCGTATGGCCCAAATGGAGGCTATGGACGGAGCAGCCCGTTGTTTGGAAACACTCCGCCTACAGAACAAGATCTGCAACTGCAGACCACTAGAATTTAACACTAGACTTCTGGAAGTTGCTAGCTCAATTGGTGCTAAGGTAATGCAAACAAGACAAATGCTCATATAAATGCCTATAAATATATTTCATATTTTATAATTTATATTATATATTTTAAGTTCGATCAGTAGATAATGATTATCTATATTTATACCCATAATTTAAGTACTAGATACCATCCACCTTTATCATGGTATAAGAATGTGTTTCCCACCGAATAAGTTGATATAATCTTGAATAGAATCACTAGCCGAGTATATTTAGGCATTCCTGACCGCCCGATAGAACTACATTTCCCGAGAGGTATACGTGTAGAGTTTAAAAGTATTATTTTTGCCTGCTCTGTTATTTATTAATAAACAAATCCTATAATTGTGCTGCTTGTTTAGTTTCTTGTTCGCAGAATTCGTTGCCGACTGGCATTGATCTACCGTGCACTAGGCGACGAGGATCAATACAACACACATTTTAGACTAGCTAATCAAACGGATGCAGCGCTAGGCTTAAATTGCGGAGCGTGTGGGGAGTTGTTTGGCCTTCGTCCAGAAAACTTGGAAGCTCTACCCTGTGCACACATTCTTCATGCAAGGTAAGCCTTAAAGTATTTGTTGAATTTTATAATACTGATCGGTGAAAAGTATTTAAAAGTCAGCAATTCCGATATTCTTGATAGTAACCTATGAATGCACATTAAGAGAAGCCTACACGCATTTTTTTTTGTTTTAAAGCCCATGGCATATCGCTAAAGTCTGTGTGGCGTCCACGAGCATCAAAATTTGTCAAGGTCTAAAAAAGGTCTCAATACACATCGACGTACAAATAATCGTTGAAAAGTAGGTGACAGCTATACTTACTCCTGACCAGGATCTCCAGCCGAGACTGTATGGGCTTGTCCGTTTGCCCGTCCAAAATTCGAATTCACAGAACATCATTTTTTTTATTATTGCAGCCCTTATCAGTAACAGACCCCACTCCTGTTCAACTTGTCACTCTCACATTCTTAGGATTGTTAATAAAGAAAGGATCATTCGAAAACAATATTAATTTATATTTTATGTCTCGTTGTGGCTCTTGCAGATGTGCCTACAATATCTTGCGACGGCGGGAGAAAAATGCCCCGCGATCATGCCCCGCCTGCAACAAACTGGTCAGCTCGCGCACACACCTCTGCAGCAGCGTTCCGGCTGAAACTGAAGGCGCCGACAGGGACGTCGCAGCCTCTTCTACCTTCAATGTGAATGCTTTGTCGATCGACGGCCTCCTAGGGATAAACTCCGACATCCTTTTACCTTCGGCCACGTTCTGCAACGTTAAGAATCCAGCTCTAGACAGCGAAAGTAGCACTCTGCTATCTCCCAAAGTTATTTACCACAGCAACTTATCATTGGCATCGCTAAGTATGCGCGCATCTAGTCTGACGATCGATAGCGGCCAAAACGTTACGTCATCTGTGTGAATGAAACAAGTCGACTTTGAGCACATGCAAATTGGATCGAGTCATCGTGCAATATCAGGATCGTGATTTTATCGCTTGTTATCATAGATAGATTAGTTCGAATTATAGATACTTGCATTTTAAATGCTCACAGAAGTTAACAGTTTTGTTTAAGTTAATAAGCCTGTTATAAGCAACTGAGACATTAGCATATAAACTACTGCTTATGCTTGTATTTTAACTTGTTTCTCTACTGAAGTACCTTATCCAAACTAGTACTTGTAACGTATTGTGTATTGTTCAAGTCTTAGGATTAAAAAATTCGCACTTACATGTTAGATTGTTCTTATATGAGTATGGATGCACACAAAGAAGTTGTATACAATAAATTGTTACTGTGTTATTAACACTAATTATTTGAAAGGTAGACGTCCTAAAAACTAAGACTTATGTCTTCTTAACTTAGTTATATCCGATACAAGAGTATACTAGATTCGTTGAAAAGTGTGTAAGAGGCGAACGAAACGTATTCCTAATTAAGATCACCAGCCGAGTCAATTTAGCAATATCCGTCTGTCCGTTTGTATGGACGACGAGATCTCTGGAACTATTAATACTAGAAAGTTGGGAGTCACGCGACGCCTACTCGAACAACTACAAGATTTAAAAATTTGACCATTTAATTTTAACATACGACAGGTAGTTACGTGACAATGAAACCATGCGCATTACTTTCATAACGCACCCTGTATCTTCCTAGCACTCCCACTAGCTAAGTAAAGTGAATCAGATAGTCGAGGAAATCGACTAGAGCGTGCTCCTGTTTTGTTTGTGTGTTTACTGGTTCAGTCGCGGTCATTTATCCACTATTCCAGCAGTTGGGCTCTTTTGTGCAGGTGGATGGAGCTTTTATTTTGGTTACGGACTCTTAATTCGTTGGAGCTGATCGGATTTGGCAAATTCGCTGCTTTCACCATCTGCTCCGCGTGTTGATCCTTTGATGAGGTCATCCTCACCCGTAATAATACTCAATTAAGTTTGCCTTTAATTTATTATTGCATTGCCTGATCCGTACATACATGTATATACCTAAATTAATAATGTGCCTAGACATACCCACCTCTCTATTGCGGTAGTTTAGTAAATTTTATTTAAACTAAATTGACTAGCATACATCAAGAGGCATTTTCTTATTCATAATACGTCCTAAAGATATTAACATAGTGACTTATGAATGACATTTGAGTATTTTTAAAAATATTTGGTATCGTTTCAAAATTACTTGTGATTTATTGTGTTTTTTATATTGCAGCCCGCCTGGCTTTTTATGGGAAATCTATATTCAAACTTAACTGGAAGGATTTTTGAATATTTTTCTTATGTACACTTTTTTACATTAATAATAATAAAGTAAAATTTGGTAGCCATAATTTAGTATTCACATTTCAAATTCATTTTTGGCCCGAATATTTCTTCAAAAAGGTAAATACGAAGGTACAAAATAGGCTTTTTAATGTGGACGAGTTTAATATAATTATATAGTTAAATAAATAATTATACAATATATTTATATGAAATGTGTTATCTTATAAATTTGACTAGTTACAGTTTTCTTTACATATTAAGTTATGTGCTTTATATCGCGTTCTTCAATTTACATATAATTAATGTTATTCAATCTAATATCTACATACATACACCTTTCTGTTTTTTTAAGGACATCTTATCTTTTTGCCTAAGGCCAATGCATTCCGTTTCATTATGGTAAAAAATTAAAGATATTATTTTTTTAACATATAAATAGGTACGCACAAACGTGACATAGTTACTCCTCAAAGCTTAACTGACTGTCTGGATATGTTGTGCGATGTGTACCTACAGTGCAAGTTGGGAATATTATATCTGTGAAATGTAAAATCTTAAAACATGGCTATCTTTCTCATGTTACACAATGATATTCGAAAATATTGTCGGCTCGAGGTCCTTCAAAATTTTGCAGTGGAGAAAGTAGATCTTGGTGCGTAACGATTATTCAGCTTAACTACAATCACTTATAAATAATCCGAGTACTCAGTTAAAATTTAAAAAAGCTTTAAAGGTCGGATAACGAATGATTAATATAATATAGATGGCAAAAAACTCTATAATAACAAAGAAGCTTAATTCAGCAAATAAAAGTTTTGTACTTTGCAGCTTTAACACATAAAATGTGGTTTCGTTTCATAAATAAATAATAAATAGCCATAGCCAAATACCCCGACTATCAGATATTGTCACTGGCTGCGAGGGAGGTGGATATCAGCCAGCAAAAGTACTCTTTTCAAGAGTATAAACCACATAGTGTCGGTTACCTAATTGCTCATAACTTTTGAATAATTTGCTCAGACGTTTTTTCCGCTTTAGAGTGGGAGTAACAACAATATTATTAGCATATCGGTAGGTATTGGCAAGATAAATATACATCATTGAAAAACCAAAAAAATTTAAAAAAAGGTGTGAGAGGGTGTGTATATTGGCATTGCGTAGGTATCACTAGAATCTGCTTGCCTAATCTCATCATACAAGCTCTTATATTTCAGGAGATTTTGACTTTCATACAGGCCATATAGCTAGCTATATATTAGTTCGACTCAAGCCCGTAATAAGAATATTTTAATATTTTATTGCGTACATCAAAAATAGAAACTTTTCTTCCTATTACATGTATCATTTATTCTTAAATGCTCAAGTTTCCCTTGTTAGCCGTACTAAAAAACTTTAATAAAAAAATTCATAACAGAGAAGCATTAAAAAATAGGGCCAAACATTTTACAAATAAAATCTCAGTTCATAAATTAGAATTCAGTGGAAAGATATTTGTTTAAAAGTATTTGATATATTTACTATTACTGCATTGAAAATATGTGTTTAAATCAACTTTTATACTAGAAATAAAAAAAGCTTGCTAAATCTTTAGGACAATTAAAGTATCAGTAAGCAATGAGATCGCACGTAGCAAGATTGCACACCTACCCTTAACAGACAATCATTACCTTCAGGTCATCCAAGCAATTTGGAATAGCTATATCATCAATGAAGATATGGGCCTCCTTATCGAGTATTTCTTGGCGAAAGCTTTGCTTAATTATGATCTTTTCATCTGATAGACGTCCGGCTTCAAGCAAATGCTCCGACACGACCTCACCCCGGCTATCGTCATAGCTCCCATTGCTAATACGTTCGTTTTTCTTTCTCACAATGCGATTAATATTGGCATCCATTGCGCTCCTTAGAGGAACCATGGGCGTACGAGACTGAATGCGGGTGTGGTTGAAGTAGTGGGTCAAAGACTTCGGAGCAAATACTTTGGGCTTGTTGATCGTTCGACGTCTGCTTTGGCTATGATGTCACAACATGTCGCTGCTGGGGCCATTGGCATCCCCATGATCATCGGCGTCCACTAAATCAAAGTCGTGACTTTCCAGTTCCAAGTCCATATCAGCCTCTTCATCAAAAGCTCCAAGAGGCGACATAGCTGTTGTATGGAGACTTGAGTAGTGGTCATGCGACATGCTATTATTTATAGCCTGATTTTGAGTGTGATTATGACCATTTTGAGATTGACTATGAGTGTGGCCAGTATCCTTGTCCTGCTCGTCTTGTTGTTGCTGTCGGTTATGTGACAAATGCAAAGTGCTTTTGGATTCGTCATCCCGCCACTTATCCATCGACCTTCTTCGGGCGTTCATAAAAAAATTTCCCACTGTAGTAGGCTCGAGTCCCAGCTGTCTCGCGATGGTCACTTGCATCTCTTTCGAAGGCCTTTTAGTTTCCTGCAAAGTAATAATTAATTATCCACTTCCAAAAGCATACAAGTATTTATTAATGGTATTTTGAAAGCAAGGAAGTCAGAAAAATGAAACTCTTGACAATAAGCATCAAACATTCAATTGAGTTGAATCGTCAAATAACATAATTTTTTTTGGGATTCGTCATAAACAAAATTTGTCTTTTGTCTGAATCATTCAGAAAGCCCCATTGATAGAACCATTTAGACACCAATACCTTTATTTAATAAGCTAAAATTTATACATACTTTGAAAATAGCTTGTAATGTTCGTCGTTGTAGATCGGTGAATACCAATCGCGGTTTTTTTGGCTGGGGCATTTGTTCGATCTGTGGCTCTTCCTTTCGACGACAACTAACGACGCTGCCAACCAAAACGCTTGTGGCAGGTGTGGATGCGGGTGAAGAATCCGATTCGTTGGTCATAACTGATGTTAGCCCAGAACGCAGATGTACAGTTTACCACATGATAATGCAATACAAAAAGTAGTTTTAATTACAATATATTATTACAGAAAAGCCAAAGCTCATATATACTTAGAGTAATTAAATTGAATTAAAATTTAAAATCCTGTGGTACACCGTGTCGGAACAATTTATGATAAAAAAAAGAGAGAATGCTATAGTCGGGACTATCAGATTCCCATTACTCAGCTTTTGCAAGTGCACATTTCTGGAATATTTGAAAAAAGAATTGAAAAAAGAAATAATAAAATTCAACAAATTTTTTATTTTTCAAAACTGTCACGGCCAAAATTTTGAAAAATTAGCACATTTTTTTGTTGCAAATCGTTAGAAATTTACAAGATTAATGAAAAAATATCAAAACATTTTTCACTTTATTTATTAAAGACCTTCCCTTGGCAATAAAACATTCGCAAACCATGCCTGCAATATAAGGACATTTCTCGCCATTCAGACTTATAGTCCGATCTACATACATAGCGTTCAAATATGGGGCCGTTATCACGGCGTTATCATAGCGTAGTAAACTTTAATGGCTTCAAGTGTAAAGTTATGAGCTGCTGTCGTGTCAACCCAAGACTAGTTCCTTTACTATTTTCTATATCGCGTCTATCTCCTCGCCAATCGAGCAGTTCAATACACGGCAACGCCGCTATTTCGGTTAGGCGGGAGGTGTGGCCGTGGGACTCGCGCGTTACAAGAAAAAAAATAGTTTTCGCGTGGCAGTTTTGGGCGGATTGTGGGCGTCATCATCAACAACATTTAACAACCTTGCGCTGCGTCTAAGTCTCTGGAATCGGCATCTCCATTTCCTAGAATTGATAGTTCCTGAGATCTCGACGTTCATAAGGACGGACACAGGCGGAGGGACAGACGAACAGACGGACATAGACAGATTGATCGATCCTGAGGATAACAATGAGTATCTTTTAGGTATATTTTTGTCTAAGGCATAGAAAATATGAAAATATTGCCTTCACTTAATACACAAATAATACTTCTTGAATGAAAAAGTCAGTGAGAATTTACTTACCATTTGAGTTCATAGTAGGGCCGCTATGTGAGTCAACTTCCGTCGGCATGGTTCCGGTGGAGCCACTTGAACCTGTTGCTGACCCAAGTGTTACTACAGAGCTCAAAGGAGCTCGCTGAGGAATTTGGGCAGCGGCCATCCGCAGAGCAGACATGCGCTGGAACTCGGGCTCCTGGAGCCACTTGTACATCCTGCGAAACGTCTCTCGGCCGGACTTCAGCTTGGACCACGGCTTTGGGTTGCGAAGCAGATCGGACAAGGTGCCTTGCGATCGGCAGAGTACCCGTTGTGCAAATATCGCCTGTGGAATGCTGTATCGCTTGAGCTCGGCTGAGATGCGCTGTGCCAGATCCTTCGTATTGATCTCCTCCATGTCACTGGCATTTGCATTGCGGCTGGAACCTGCTCCTCCAGAGGACACAGTCGCCTTTGGGGATGCGCATGCTGAAACCTTGGCCTGCTGGCTGCTGACTTGAAACTCGTTTCCGAGAGCTGATTGAGACTGCTGTTGAATGGCACCCACCGAGTGCGAGGTGCCATGAATGCCCGGACTGCACTGTTCCACTATCACGGAACTGGGTTCTTGGCTTTTGTCCAGGAAGTACTGTTGTCTGTGCTCTGGTGATAATCGCCCGTTTAGTTTAATTCCGCTCACCGAGTCGTCTGTTATCGGAGGTGGTGTAGGAGTAAGGGAAACAACGACGGGCATATCGGCGGTTAAACTAACAATGCCAGTGTTACTGTGTTTCCAATCATCCGCCTTCCAATCCGCGGGGCAGATCGGAGCGTTTGGAGTATGATGTCGGCTCAAGGATCCACGCGCAGGTGGCACGTTGAATCGAGTCCTTCGCTCTGACGAAATGTGAAACCTCGCTTCCAGCTCAGCCGGCACGGGCATATGGAGTCGCACTTCCCTCTCAGAGTGCATCTGGAGCCAATTCCTTTAAATAAATTAAATATTGTTTTTAATAGTATGGGAGAGCTCTCCAAGCATAGTCCATATTGCCAAATACATAGCATAAAGTCTAGTATTAAAGGTACTGCATTACAACTTGGCATATTTGATATATACACCACGCTAAATATATGAACCAACTTTTAAGGCAATGTAATCACAATGTATCAAACAAAAACACCTCCTGATGAGCCCTCCGCATGTAAGAGTGCGAACCGTCGATAAAAATTGACAGCCACAATAAAAAAATGTAAAAACAAATCGATGGTTTGGGTTTGGCAGTTTTGGACGGATTTTAGGCGTTAGAACGGGAATGACCAAAATATTTTTCGCATATCGATACAAATAGGAAAAACAAGTGATAAAATAAAATAAAATCAAAAGTGTAGGCGTGGCAGTATTAGGTGGTATGTGGACGTTAGAGTTATTAGAAATATCAGGATTTCTCAACTTGCTAGCCTTTATAGAATTTCTTATACGAACAGAGGGACGTAAGTGATCAGATAGACTTTGGTAAAGATTCTGATCAAAAATATATATTGTGGGAACCGCGCGACAGTATTTTTAAACAAACTCGAAGAAATTCTTCTCTGGAATATACATGTTTATTATCAATCTACTATGTATTATAGTTTCCAAATCTTAACATTTTTTCAAATTTGTATGAAATCATATAATCACATATTTTGAAGCTAATATTTATTTTGAAAAAATAAGTATTTAAGCAGCAAATCATTTTCTTTTTATTTTATTGGCAGGAAGAAAGGCTCACAGTTACTATTTAAATTAAAAATTTACTTTAAAAAAATCACAACATTTTTAATAAAGTTTGGCAAAGTTTGGTTTCATTCAAACAGTGTTTGAATTCATAGCATAAAAAAATACTTACGTTCCGCCGTTGACGTCTGGGCCGTTATCTCCTTCAGAGATGTGATCTGAATATATAAACTTTTCTCTGTTGACATCTTCATCACCGCTATCTCCTCCGGATATATGGTCAGAGAAAGAGAACTTCTCACCGTTGACATCAGTATCTCCGCTATCACCACCGGAGATGTGTCCAGTATAGGAAAACTTCCCACCATTGACATCAGCAGGCCCATGTGTGTGTTCTTGGGTCATTCCAGACTCCTTTTTATTTCCGCTGTGACTTAGCTGCAAGTGCGATGAGGTAATAACGCGTCCCGACACTGAGGCATGTAGATCACACGAGACCAGGTAGTTATTAGGCGGAGAAGAAATCATCGAAGAAAGCTTTTCGTATGAGGAAAATGGTGACTGGACGCCACTTAAAACCCCTAGGCCCAAATGGCCACTTCCCATGGGCATAGTGAGGGCAGAAAAAGAACTGCAATCATTGTTGGAGCACACAGAGGAGGTAGCGTTGCCACTAGATATTGAAACAGTCCCTGCAGCCTCGCTGGATTGGTTGAGGTCACCAACATCAACGACTCCTCTACCTCCATCATCTCCATTGACATCCGTGTCGCCACTGTCTCCTCCCGAGATGTGGCCAGAGTACGCGAACTTCTCGGACATCGTTGATATAGGCGGAAGTGGTTGAATGGGAGTGAGTGTAGCATAAGATGTTTGACTAAACCCAGGCGAGGATAGGCGATCATTCACCGCGGTCAACGTCTGATACGAGCTGTGACTAAGCAGCTGCTCACGACTCCGTGAGTCGCGTTCATTATCGTCTTCATTCTCTGCATCTCCTTCTGCATCCCCATCACCATTTTCCTCACCGTCCTCCTTATCGCTGTCCTGTGAATGGACGATAACCGATAGAACCTCCCCATGTCCACTCTCCAGTCCCATTTCCGAATGAGTTGATCTCTGGTGCAAGCCATGGAGAACCTGAGTATGAGGTTGGTGATGCGGATGGTGGCTTGTCATGTCAAATTGTTCCTCCTGCTCCAAAAGATGCTGGTGGTGCTGATTCAGCGTAACTCCTTCGTCGTCGCAGCCAACGTCATCAGAGGAAATCTCATCCATATCGTCCACGTGCATGCCACTCGAAACGTCTACAAGCATTCGAATGCGCCTGTGGCTTTGATCCTGACTCTTGGATTGCACAATAAGTAGCTTTTGCTCCTGCTTTATCGCCATTTCTTGGGAGTGAACCGTCTGGGAGATTGCGTCTACAGTAAGACCATCCAAATTAATGTCGGGCGATACAAAGTCCACTGGGCTGGTATTGACATCCCTCTCATGCTGCAAATGGTGACTATCCTGCTGGAGTAGCCCGAATGGCAATGGCATTGTTCTTTGCTGCAACTGCTGAGGCACAATTTGATATGATGGTTGCCTGTTACCTTGTCCCAGTGCGTCTATAACCATGACAACGGAGTCGGATCCCGATGCCGATCCCGACCCAGATGCAGAGCCGTGGCGTTGTTTCCCCCCTCCACTCAATGCGTCTGTTCTGGGACAGGAAATCATTTCTTGCATAGACATTGTCGGATCCTGTCTAGCATTGGGGTGCTGACGAGACTGCGACTGGCGCTCCGAATGATGACCCACAGTAATAAACTCCGATGCATCTTCAACTAACTCCTGGCTAAATGTTTGGTGGTCAATTATCTCATTTAGGGAATCCATTCCTTACAAGATGACGCTTGAGTTACGATACCATTCAAGTGCATCTATATAGGAATAAATATGATAACCAATAGATTATTTTAAGCTTTCGAAACGGGATGTCTTTTTTATATAACTTCCACCAGTTTTTAAAAGCTTATAGCTTTCGACAAAAATATGTCTTTTTTACATAATTTTCACTAGTTCTTAAAAGCTTATAGTTAAAATGAAATAATACAGAAACAATAATAACACATTTTCCGAAACCAAACATTTTACATTTCAATAAAGCCCCTGATTTTACGAATCGGCTACGTAGTGGTATATTTGTTATTATTTGTACAAAATATTTTTGTCGTTGCCATCGTCGCGCGACATTAAGGGTTGCTTCGTCAACACACAAATATATGTATATGTAGCTACACATAAGTATTTGGTCGTACCTACACATACGCATGTATGTGTGGCTTGCACTTTCTAATATTTTTCCCATTTTTAAGTGGGAACAAATTGGATTAAATGTTGATTTCTATAATTAAGCTTCTACTACCGGTTGACGATGGAGTTTACCTTACCTAAAAGCTAAACAACTTTTAAACTAGAGCTTTATAAAGGCGGATCCGTCTTCCTTTGCACATTTTGAACCACATTCATGCAGCGTATTAGTTATTACACAAATCCGAAGGATTTTTTGAAGAAAATTTCGTTCGGTTCCTTGACTGGATCGATCCAATAGGCAAGTTCTAATTCGAAACAGAAGACGCCAATTAATGTGTTTGGGACTCTGTCTAAAAAGGATATGCTTAAAAAAAAGGCAGCTTTTAAGTGGATCAAACTGATGAAAACCTTAAGGCTCCGTCACAGCGCCTCGTCTGTGTTCACAACTGAAACCTTCGGCTAGAAAATTCTCTACGCATGCACAGTTATACACATATGTACACACATGTGGGTGGTTTTTCAGAAAGTTTTTTATGTGGCCGCCGCGTTCCATGAAGACTCAGCCTCACGCGAATTATACCCAATTCGAACTGAACGGAACCAAACCAAACAGAACGGAACTGAAATAAAATTAACGGCCACAACGCACCACCATTGAGCTAAGGGTTGCCATATGCAGACAGTGCACCACAAACCATAAGCCCCACCCTCAAAGTCTGAGCATGCGCAGTGCGAGAACGGGAACTGGAATCTGAAACTGAATTGTTTACTGCTCGTATTACTTCTTTGGGTGGGTTTAAGAGTAGCGCATATTTATTCGTGCCTCAGCCGGGACTTAAGGTTATTTGATTCAAAATTACCCGATGCATTTGTTTTATTACCTTATTAAAGCTTACAGACTTGTAGTTGGCATACTAGTTGGCCAGAAGTAGTCCGAAAAGTGAGAGAATTAATTCAAAAACAAAACTTGATGTACATATTTCAGTGGTTGGCCCATGATGAAATCATTTAATTTAGTAAAGTGGTAAAGACAAGGAGTAATACTATCTGAGTGGTCAAGGGCTGCGCCTGCGCCATTCCTTTACAGGTTGCGGCGATCCAGGACCAACGGTGTCCCACCGAGATGCAGTTCGACCTCTCTTTGTCCTTGGACGGCAATAGACCAAGGTCCAGCGCCTCGCCATTATTTCACGGACTCTGCTTTACAGGGGTCCAACACACAACTCATTATTTTTCAGTTATCATGGCTGCCCTTCTTCTTCGATGTTACTAGGCGCTGCTCTCCTGCATCTAGAATTGCTCTATTTTAAAGACACCTCACACTGGAAAGGAAACTACGTGTAGGTTTCGGACACCGAAGCTTTGACAAAGTCGAGCACTTGCTTGTACATTTCCTACATAATGGCGTCACTGCATATGGATATGGGGTAGAAAAGAAAAAACATGCAAAACAGGACATTTTTCTTCGTGAAAAGGGCCCTAAAACTAATTTTAAAATTGAATAAAAATACGCAAATATAACGAATTTCACTTATACATTTTTGGAAAAATTGACTGTTCTGATTCCTGGTTTTTGGCGTTCAAAATGGTGAAACGGTTTTTTATACGCGTTACTCGTAGAGTCAAAGCGTATACTACTATATTCATTGAAAAGTATGTAACACGTTGAAGGAAGCGTTTCCGACGCTATATAGTATACATATTCTTAATCAGGATCTATAGCTGAGGATCAATCTGGCCATGTGCGTCCATCCGTTCGACTGTATGAACGTCGAGATCTCGGAAACTAAAACTTTAGACATGCAGACATTAGTAAAGCCTATGCTGCACAAGTTTGTTTCAGAACGTTGTCACGCAAAAATGTTTTGATATTTTGTATATTTATTATTAGTCTTGCTAATTCTTATCGGAATACCAAAGCATTTTTACACACAACTGCCACGCACACACTTTTGTTTTTGTAATATTTTAATTTTATTATTTTTTGCCTATTTTTATAGATTATTTTTTTAACATTTTTAGTGTGAGTTTCTTGCTTCAGGCTGTCCTTGTTATATGAGATTTTGGAATCCTTTTCGATAGGAAATTCTGGTTTTCTGCACACTTGAAATTTATTCTTCCATAGGCGTATGCAATGTTTTGGTTTGTTAGGATAAATTCCATCCAGCTTAGAGATCCTTCATCGCGTCCTTCTGTGTACTCTGCGTTCGTCCGTATGGTGCCCATCCTGCCATTGCACATTGGGCCAGCGAGCCGATTTTTCGACGAAAATTCCAATTTTCATACAAAAGTAAACGTGTTTTAATAATAAAATTTGAATAGAATATACTTTGACTAAAATGAATAAACAAATTTTAATTGTTTTGATGCATCCCAGAAAATTTTGGCAGCCCTTCAAAGTCAGCTGTTTGATTGCGAGCGTGCTAACATTTTTGTGGCTTAACCAATTTTCACAAAAATTATGGAAAGGAAAGACCAAGGTATGTAGAATATTTGTATTAAAAAAGATTTTGTTCAGCTATGTTTGTTTATGTGTTTTTGGTGTGCATTTATTTGTGGTGTCCAAAAGTAGAAAAATGATAACCAGCTAACCCGTCTTTTGTGAAGTATAACTAATTTTGTGCCAAAAAGTAATTATTTATCATTGTAGCGCAAAGTGTATATAAACTAATTTTAAAAATCGTTTTTTCTCGAGTTCGCTTATGAACAACTGCTTGATATTTACATACAAAGCAATCGTAGCGCATCTTCCGTTTCGAGATTGATTTATGATGAACTAGCCCTTGTGTTAAAAAATACATTTCTTACTCCGAGAGACCCCAATAAGGCTAGAAAAAATTATTTTACTCGGTTCAACTAACGAAGGATGAAGCTTTGTCATTGCTGCTTTTTAAATGTAAAATACTTATTTATAGTAATTTTGAATGCATTGTTATTTTTTACTTATAAATATTAAGGTTAAATACTGAAAAAAGTAATTAAAAACATTTGCTGATTTAACGAGTGCTAGCATTATAAGTTACCGTACAAGTATGAATAAGATGAAGCCTATATCATACGGATACTTAGATACTATCATACTTACGAAATTTCGAGAACTTAACCCTCATCCTGTAAGCACTGGATTTAGTTGGGGAGCAGATAGGCCTAAATTCAAAAAATATCTTGTTAATTTTTTTATGTAGGACATAAGAGTATAAAGGAACTAGTCAGATAAGGCTCAATCTATGCATTTGCGTAAATAAATGAATACAATAGAATAAAACAAATAAAAACAATACAATAAATAAATTCTCAACACAATTTCTTGTTCGCAATCGGTCAGCTATTTTACGGGTATCTGATAGTCGAGAAACTCGACTATAGCATTGTCTCGCTATAAGTATCGCACATAAGTTATAATCGATATCTATCGACTTTTTTGCCTTCGTCAATGTAATTAAATTCAGGTGTTATTTACGGACAATAAGTAATATAAAAAAATTAATTAAAACTAAAGTGTGGGCATGACAGTGTTTAACGGTTTATCGATAGAATTTTCGCAAGTCAAAGAATTTCATGCAAAAAATTAACCGTAACTTCTGTATAATGTGGTATACTTAATCTTCTTAACCTTTTAGCTTTTATAGATCGTGCATGCGGACGGACAGATAATAATAATAATAATAATATGGGCGGTAACATAAGGCTTATACGTTTTGGACAACGATGCTTTTTACCGTTACTCGTAGAGTAAAAGGGTGAATTAGATTCGTTGATAAGTTTCCGACCATATAACGTACATATATTCTGTATCAGGATCACTAGCATCTCAAGATGCCTCGATATCAGGAACTAGAGGCTACAGAGATTAGGCATGCAGATTCCAGAGATATAGACGAGTAAGTTTGTTTCCAGATCTTGTCACACCCACTCTAACGACCACAAGCCGGCCAAACGCATTTTGTTATTCGTTTTGTAAATTAAATTGATTTGCCACGCACAAGTGTTTTAATATATTTTAATTTTTATATTTCCCTCGATTTACCATATTTCTTTTTTTTTCACGCCTACTCTATTGCTCATAAGCTGCGCAAAACTGCCATGCCCACACTTTTGAAATGTTTTAGATTTTATTGTTGTTTTTTCCAATTTCATTCAAATAATCTATCTACCAAAATAATTTTAAAATTTCTCGTTCGCACTTTTAATAGCTCAGTATCGGGTATTTGGTAGTCGGGGAACTCGACTATAGCGTTCACTCATGTATTTTTTTGTAATCGTCTAAGTAATTCGTCTGGTTATTCCAAATTAAACTTCCATTTTGGTTGCAGTTTGACTTTTTGTTGATTCTTCTTCGAGTGGCCGTTATCAGAGAGGCAATGTAAAAAAAATTAGTTCTTATACCCAAAAAAATTAATCCGGAATGAAATTTAAGCTTAAAACAATATAAATATTATAAATGAGCCATCAGTAATAGTTTTGGAGCTATTATGTTCACCGTTTTCAGAAATGTCATTCATGATAACTGCTTATCAGCTTTCACAAAAACTCACACACTTTTCAAAACTGTACCGGTCGAAATGCGTTAGCCGCGTCAGCTATGTTAGCTTTACTCAGATTAACATGAGCAAACGATCCAATCTATTACTGATCCTAAACAAGTAGTTATACAGCGTGTACAAACAGATGTAAATTCAGATAAATACTGTCATCAGGAAAGTTATGTTATTCCAAGAAGGACAAGCATTTTGTAATGATGATATATTAATTGAAACCCGTTCATTAGATAAAGTGTTAATAATTATTGAAACAGAATGTTCCATTTCGTGCCAATTTCATTATCCCAAATTTGATGGCATATCGTCGATGCTATGTTGACTTCACTTTTTATAAAAAATTTGTTTTCATGGATTTTAATGTGTTATAAAAGTTATCGATACCAAGTGTTTTAACAGAATTGCTATCTAAGTAGAAGTGAATTTTAATAATAAAAAAGAGACAGAAAAGACATTGAAAATGACATTCCGGTCTTTACCAAATATCCACACAAAATCCAGAGGATTTTTGGTCGGAAAAGAACCACTTTAAAATAAAGACGAGAATTAGCCGTGCGGGTATTAATCAATGAGGTGCTGAAATACAAAATGTACATATATAATAAGAAAATTCGTTTAAATATCTTGTGTTCCAAAGCCGTAACAGTAATCATACGTGACATCAAATGTTTAAATCAAAGCTAGCGTCTCTTTACAAGCATACATACACACTATCCATTTGTATATATAACATGTATGTGTATATCAGCATAGGAAAATGCAGGTATCAATGCAGGTCCATATGTGTATACGCCTCCATGTATATATACACATGCACATAAGACAATGAATACTGACTCGAAAATGAACGGGTCTTTCAAAAAAATTTACAGCAATACAATTATGGTTATAAAATATGCATTAAAGCAAATTAATTTATTTTTTCAGTCGTCTTATAAACTGGACCGACCCGAAACACGAATAATGCTCTCAGTATTGGTAAAACCGCATCAAAGTGCGTACAAGCCAATTAAAAAATAAAAGTGCTCGAAAACGATCCCAACAAAATGAAAATGGTGTCCGGGTGTCCCGCAAATGGTAAAGAAGAAGCGAAATATATTGGTATTAAAGGCAATACTTATTCCGAAACAATTCAAACTTCCGTAGATGATGGTATAAGCACTCTCAAGTTTGTGTTTTACAAAGTTCAAGCTCAAATTAATGAGCAAAGCAGATCTCAACTTTTTTCAAGAATGTCTCTATTGAGCACAATACTGCTTATTATAATTTCAATTCATTTTAAATTGGCACATGCAGATCAGGGTACGTACTGCTCAACAGCAATTAAGCCTTAACAGTAAATGACATCTTCCTAATTTTCACGAATTTCTGCAGTCGTTCTATTGGATACAACTAGAGAAGCTACATTGGAGTGGACCAGGTATCCGTATGGACCTCAAGCCCAAACACCAGGGGTACGTAAAATAATATTATATTAAATCAATTTAGAGTATCTGTCAGATCCTAGAGCTTGAATAAAGCATAGCCTTGTAAATGCACTTTTTATCATAAAGCAATAATATTTTTAATATCCGTCGGAATGGCCAAAAACTAGGAGGTTCGAACTCCGTATAGATGAAAACATGCTGACCCATGATATAATTATTAGTTTCTTCGTTTTGGGGGCCCCTAATACCAGTAACTTTGTCATCAAATTAAGCGATTTTAGATTTATAAATCGGAAGTATGTTTCACTGTCTTTCTTGTGCCCAATTTAGACCAATAACACTTGTATGACCTTGCTCTTATTAAACCGCTTTGGAGTGTGCATGTCAATTGTTTTCTATTCTTCCTCAAACTAGTATTTGCTTGACCAATTATTACTTGATATGGCAATAACAAAGAGTTTTTAAAAAATCCTGAACTCTAATATAGTATCTGCTCTATCTGGTACGGTGAGGTAACAATAATATAATACTAAAAAAATCACTACATATTCAATAATTTCATTTTTATACACTTTTAGAGATTACATTGATTTTAGTCTGAAGTTTGCAAAGCAAAGCTTGTTTGTTTTTGATCAAAATGTATTCTAATTTGGTATACACCAGGTTTTTAACCACATATAATTAAAATTTTCGCATGACTATATTATTCAGCTGAATAAAAAAGAATTCATTGTTTTGTTGTTTCCAATCATACATTTTTTCGGTATAACCCAGTTTTTTTCATATAATATATAATATATATATTAATATACAGCGGGGAGCAAAAGTGATTCCACGATCAAAGTTTTTGTGTTTGGAAGCAAATAAAAACTAAACGAACGAAGTAAATGATACAACTTTTATATTTTTTTTAATAGTAGTTAATTTGTAACAACAAGACGTAAGTAATTAAGTAATTTAAGAAGCTATAGACTAGCTAAACAAGCGGCATGTACTCAGTTTTGCACCATTTATGAAAAACTACAAAATAAATTCATTATTAATATTTTGTCCAGAGACCCTTATTTTTTAAGACATTTGTTATACGTTTTGGCATACTTTCAACAAATTTTTCGATTATTCTTTTTGAAATGTTATTCCATTCTTTTTTTACACGCGCCCAAAGATCGTCCAAGCTGGATGGGGCTGACTGTTACTGTACGAGCTGTCGCTTTACGATTGACCATAGGTTTTCAAACAGATTGAGGTCACGACTTTGCGCAGGCCACTCCATCATCTTTTGGTTTCCGAGCCATTCCTTAACAATTTTCGCAGTGTGCTTGGAATCCCCATCATGCTGAAAAGTGGTTTCCTGCTCTTGGTACGCACACGGGTCAAAAAAAATTTGAAGATGGGTTTGCAAAATGCTCAAATAGTCTTCCTTTAGCATAATCCCGTCAATTTTGTGCAACGGTGCAACGTGCGAATACGTGAAATACCCCCATGCCATTATTTTGCCACCTCCATGTACCACGGTTTGCTTTACATGATGCCTTTAAAGCTTGTTACCAAGTCTCAGGCAACAATATTGCTTTCCATCCGATTGAAAACTATTAAATTTAGGTTCGGCCGACCAGATAACACGTTTCCAATCGTCTATTGTCCAGTTCTTATGTTCCTATGCAAATTTTTCTCGGATAAAGTCTGGTTTGTTTTTTTCACTGCTGCGATGTACACAATTCTACCAAGCGCTCTTCTAGCTGTCCATGGACTCACGCCTTTATTTATTTCTGTAGAAAAATCTTTTGGCGTTTAAAGTCTTTTTTTTCTCATTTTAGATATCATAAGTAGAGTCTGTTAGAAGGCGACGCAGACCATTCAACTTCTTTTCATCACAAAAATTTTGTCTTTTCTGGACCTTACCACTGATTGACTAGTTTGCAGCTTCTCAGCAATAGCAAGGGTCGAACACCCACTTTTAGCCAGGGAAATAATACTATTTTTCTTATCAGAAGACTTCTTAATTTTTCAGTGAAAAGTTAGAGACTAAGTTCCAAATTCAACAAATCAACTATAAACTTATCGAAGATAGTGTTTTATTGCATCCTGACAACGTATTATAAATGCAAAAGCCACTTAATAGTAAATCTGCAGTTATATTAGCTGATAAGAAAGTGCGAAGATCAAAAATATGAGCTAATAACGGATGGTCCAAAACTGAGTACAAGCCGCTTGTGTTGCTTTTTAAATCATATCTATTCCATTTCTTATTTTTCTATTTTGCTATATACACCTAATTGTAAAAAACCAGCTAGGTATTCAATAAAAAAAAAATTTTGTCTATACATTATTCGTATAATATTTATGTGAGCTCAAACATGAAAACGTTGATCGTGGGAATCACTTTTGCTCCCCACTGTATAATAACTATAT